TTCAGGATATTTTGAAAGTTGTTTTTTTCCCTTTCTCCTCACTTGGAAACTGTTCCTGTTATTTAAAGAGTTTCATTGGTGCCATTGAGTTTCTCAAATGATTATAAACTGTTTATAAACTATTGGTTTACTCAAAACTGAAAATAGCTTTCAACTTGTGATACAATTTGACCTCGACGTCTCAAAATACCATACCTTCCCCAACATGAGGTTAACCTACAGCTGCTCTAATCTTACAAAAACTGTGTTAGAGATCAACATAGTCATTTAAGTATTTCACATCTGCCATTGACTTACTATTGAAGTTTTCACGCTCCACTCTTGGAAGGCTCCCAAAAGATTTGGCGCCTACTAACTCAATGTTCCCTTGTCTGTTGTTTAGCGTCAAGTCCAAGAGATAAAAGACGAGCCGATAGAGACAGTTTAGATCTTCCTCCATCACTCTCCCCTCCCCCACAACTCCAAGGATCTCAACCCCCACCCTAAGGAATGCTTCCGCCTCAATATCAACATTTGCAAAATCATATGGGACCAATGATGGCACCACCGCAGTGCCAACCTCCTTACCAAGGACCGCTTAACCATATGGACTCCGGGAGATTCCTATGGATCATGGAATGCAAGCTATCGATGAATGTATGATGCGGCCGCAACAGTTTAACCCTGGGGATATGGGTGGATATCCCACCACTACAAATCACAATGGTCAGAATCACTTAGAACTTATGCATGACATGATTAATTCATTCTAATTTATCACAATTTTGAAGCATATTGTATCGCATTATTGGCAATGCCTCCTTGTTAGTAACTACATAGAACACTTTCAATATTGCTGGTAGTTTAGAATGTACTATTCGTTAGGGCTGAGGTTTATTTGTATTTATTTATCGTTGTTGCTAAATATCGTGACACTTCTTGAAAACAATTTCGAACAAATAGGTTTGCTTTTCTGAAAAAAATTACATTTTTTCTTAACTTTTTTCCACTGAAAAATTTTCATTTTACACCCGTAATTGTACATGTCGAGTCATGATCAAGAAAACGATCAAATAGTTATTTCTATTTTGCAAAAAAATTTAAGGAAAGTTCACGAGTTATTTTTCAGTAAGATAAAAACATAAGCTGTAGGCTTAAAAGTCGTCACACCTTATATCGCTGGTTACCACTCACTCTCTTGCAACCTCTTGCTTATCTGAAGAATTAAATAGGTCTCTTTTAAAAAAAAATTCAAAGGAGTAAGTCATAGTATTATAATTACTTCTGAATACTTTCCGTAACTATGAAATACTAAACGAACAAGTCATAAATCTTTTTTTAACCGAAAATCATGGCCTAAGTATGAACAGTTCTTTGCTTGTGATTTGTGGAGACTGCCAACACTTTCCTACCCGCAAAAATCACCTTTTACGTGCAGATGTCGCGTTATACTTGAGGAAAATTAAAAAAAAAAATATTTGCCTATTAAATGTAATTGTGTTTGAAAGCCTTTTTGTTTTACAAAATACTGAAACCTTTTTGATAACTTATTTGCAAACAAACATACTGTTCATCGCTAATTTTTGGCCGAGTAACTGACGGAAGAAGAAACTTGACTAGGATTACTGAAATTCAGGTCTTGCACGTTGCATTAATATTGTCAAGATGAAAATGACTGTTTCTTTTCTTACTGAGACAGTCTCACAATCCTCTCTGAAAAATAACAAACTGCGTTGAGACATGTTACGGGATCATAACTATTATTTAAGAAAGATTCAAATTATTCATACTCTGATGAAGCTTTTTTTTCCACATAGTCTAAATATCCTTTCAGAATTAGCCTCGTTTGCGCTCTACTGATTCAAAATTTCTCATTTTCTTTGCCCATATGAAACAGAGGTCTGCTCAAGAACACTAGCCTAATATCCGAAATTGTTTTGTTACAGATTCAGACGATGCTGCTTCACATTGGTTCAACGCATATTTATAGCAGTTGCAGACTTTTGCGTCAGTTTGAATAATACTTAAATCTTCCATCCTTAAACTCGCCAATTCTCAGTTAGATAATGCCATGTATTTCCTGAAAAAGCAGTTGAGATTTAAATAATTAACCGGATAAATATTGGTGGTTTCTACTTACTGGTCTACTTACTTTTTGACAAAGTATAAAATTTATGAAGAAGAGTCTGATTTTGCTCTCTTTTGAGAATAAAAGGGTGAAAGCACTGATTAGTTTTCCACGAGTAGTAAAGTGGTATGAAGAGTAGTTAGGAAATCTTTTGTCTTTATCTAAGAAAGGTTACTAAGAGTGTTATAGTCAAAAAAATAAAAACTTAGCTCTCAAGATTGAAAATGAATTTCGACTTAAATCTGTAGTACATTACCTTAGAAATCCCTGAGATTTTAAGTTCCTGCCATGGAATTACCTCCAGGCTTATTAGTATGACATTTCTCCTCACTTCTATGGTAAACACTGGTCTATAATAATGAGGAGGATTCGATTCTTTATCAATCTTGGGAGTTAAAGGTTTATCATAGGAAGCCTAGAATCACTAAAGTATTAATCGGCTTATTTATTAACATCACTTCCTCAAAGGCTTCTTATTACTAGGAGCGGGGTGGTGTGGCGAGGAGGGGAAAGCGAAGGATATCCCAAGTCTTATGCGAGACGCGAGTTTGTGTTAAATTAAAGAGAGTTGGTGTTGTATTCAGGATGTCTTTCATTCTCATAATTTAAACAGTATTGACTTGTTGTTGTATGATAAAGAGATATAGTATGATGTAAATAATATCCAAAAAGGAAAAAAAGTGAGCCTTAATTTCTTGTGCTCAGTAACGTGTACAGAACATTAAGATTAAGAAAATAAAACAGATCTAAAGAAGGTTTTCCTCGTTTGCTATTTGCCATATCATATCCAATGCGCGCTCAAGGAATAATTGTTGAATATTACATTCGAGATATTCGTCAGTTTTCAAATCTTGCATCTAATGGGATAAAAAAGTCATCCTCCAAAGTTGATTTGAGCACTTTACTGCAGTTACAGAGGAAGAGACGAACTTTTTCATCCACGAAGGCGCTCTGAAAAGGTAACAGTTTTCTACATAAGCCAAGATGCACTCTCTGATTGGAAGTCATTAGAGAGTATAAGATTTGGAGGGCCACCTAAAAATGACCTTTCGTTTTTCTTAAACTTTCACTAGTTGGTCGATGTATATCAATCGTTTCTTATGGTACAAGATCTCGCCTTTAGCATAACATGAAGAGTTAATTCCAAAGTAGAAAAGAGACCCCTGAGTAGCCGTCGATGTTGTCATTCCTTGAGCACACGAAATCTTGTGCTTTCCATGGTCACTGTTCTACACAAGACGGCTAAGAACTGCACAAAGTTTTAAACGCAAGTGCAGTGTTATTGTTTTCGTCTTTAAACCTTCGGTTTTGCCACGCTCTTGTTGACCCTCTCGAAGTCTCTAATCGTTTGGGTGCCCTGTGTTACTTCTGCTGCCGTCAGGTAGTTTAGGTGAGGTGGAGTAAATCACGTCCAGTTCCCCTTTTGCTGTCTGTCACTCACGGGAAAGATGACAGGTTCGAGGAGGAAGTTAAGAAAGTTGGTTCACTGAGTAAATCCTGCCCCACCCCACCCCCCTTACCTCAGTTGACAAGAAAATTGACATCCCGTGGTTTTAACTAAATCTGTATTACAACTAAATGTCAAAAGGAAACCAACGTAAGAAAACCCCGCCTACGGCCACGAATAATGTATTAAAATAGATTACCTGGTCACCTTACTTTCTATCACAGCAAAATTATTTTTTCTGTTTTTTAAAAAATCAGTCACGTCCAGGAAAGGAATATTGACGCTTTGAATCATTTTATTAAGTAAAAGTTCTTTGTACTTTCGTTCATCAATCATACTGAATATTCGAAGGCGTGCTCGTTGGAAATTGCACATGTTACATACTTGAAATGTTTGTTAAATAACTTTCCGGCCATAAGGATATTTCATGTGCGACGTTCGTCTCTTGAAACTGCGGCGATGCAGCGATTTCTCTTCCAAAACGAAAAAAAGTTGAAAATCCACATCTACTGCATCCTGAATTAAACTTGGGTAATCAGACCATTTATAACAGAGGCTTTGAACAACTGGTGTATTCTTCCTACCTACTGAGTACTTTTTCGACATTCCCGCCGACTTCATCTAGAGGCATTAAAAATCTACTTCGCCCTCGTCATGTAATTAAAAATAGCGAGCGTAGGAGTGCTATCTATTGTTTTCTTTAACTTATCGGTTCTCCAGAACACAATTCTACTTACATCCAAGTTTACTTCATTCTGTGAAAACCTGGTTAATATGTTAGGCTCTCACACTTTGATTCTCACTGAATACTTCTCGTTGATTTGTGCCGCCAAACACTCACTTCAACTACAGGATTCTGACTGTACTCTTCTCCACTCTGTCTAAATTCTACTAGTCTATTCTATTCTCTTCTCTGTGCTAAATAAGCTCTGAAGAAAATGCCTCTACATACACTACTGACAGATATAGGTGGGCATGCCAGCTGGCTGACCTTGGATTATAAGGAGTTGCTCAAGTAGAACTCTAAGCCAAACAACCTCACGAGACTTGAACATAATGCATCTGATCAACTGTATCAAACTTCGACTACGTTAGCCAAAACAAGAACCCTCGTGCGTTCAAATCAAGGTCAATAGACCAACTAAGCACGTCCATTTATGGAATTTAGTCAAGACTGTCACAATTCGGAAACTCACCACGGCAGCTTTAACCAAAATAACTTCGGAATTCGAATTCGAATAGTAACTACATTCTAAATATAAACGAAACACTCAATCATACTGAACTGACTAATGAATTATAAACTAATAAAATACTTCATAACACTATGTTATCATATTTTTGAAAAAGAAGGACACTGTACTAAACCTTCTGTAAGATTGGGTGGATGCGAAAGTCTGGCGACTCAAAACGAGACAAATAAAAATTGCACAAAGGAAATTCACTTGTTGAAATTGCCTTTAATAGAGGAAGTGTACATCAAATGATAATTTTAACACTAACACGATTAAATCTCAAAAGGCTGAAGAGGAATGATGTTTGACGACACATGGTGGTGATGGTTTTTGCATTTTCATGGAAATAATGTGAAATAAACAGAAAAAATTGCACTATTATTCCTCTCCAACCCATAAAAATATAAATTAGCAATAACATTTCTTTGTTATATTGTTGTGTAACCAACAAAGTTGCTCACTTCCAGCATAGCTGTACCACCGACACAACATTATTAGTACTCAACTGTCTCTTAGTACATAATTAAATGGTTTTTGTGAGGCAATCAACAAAGAAAACTGATTACAAGTGAAAGTAATTCACATCAATACGATGAACAGTGCCAAGGAAATATGTTTGGAACTCCCACCTACTTCATTCATATCTATGATTATCAACGTACGTAGTTATAATTGTTTGAACGTGAATCACATTGGTCAATTGTATTCACGATGAATTTTAAAGACTGCGCAATTCACCTGGTACTGCTTTGTACCATCGCGGCTCTTGACAGATTTCTTATTTTTTCCCACTATAAAGCAGTGACTAATTTAAACGTTGTGCGTCAGAAACGAACCTCAGACATGGAGAGGTTCCAGATAATTTATCTGCAATTGTGTTGTACAATTCGAGCCAGTTTTACGAACATGACTCAGTCTTACTCCCATACCTGGAGTCACAAAACTGTTTCGTCTTTTATCACAAGATACTTATGTCTTCTTGCAAAATTTTAATATAGAAAATGGATTGATAAAGGTTAAGTAGGCAGAAACTCTCGTAAGTCCATTCTGAAAAAATGTGAACTGTTTTAGAAGGCGAGGCGATTTTAAAAGGTGACATCCCCGTTGATCAACTCAGACGTGAACTGGGATGTGCAGCTGACTCACTGGTAGATTACCAATGTCTTTCGAGTTGTCAATAAAATTAGTTTCTACAATCGACTACATTACTCAGATCGAGGCAATAGCGGTAAATTATAAGGACAACGGCGAAAACAAGGAAAAGACAACCATGAGAAAACTACTTTCGTTGCAGCTGGACCAATCAAAATATTACTAGCTAGCACATGCAGAAATGAAATGTCACACTAAATGCATTGGGGTTATTCATACCTTAACCAAGAACAAAAAAGTCTGCTTCCCTGGGATCTGCATCACGTTGAGATTACTCCAAAAATTTGTATTTGAATCTTCTAGTTTCTGCTGAAACTCAGACTGACTAAAATACGAAACATTTATTCTCTAGCTGTGTTGCAAAATATTTTCAAGTAGATATCGCTTAAAAACTATTTCTACCTAGTATTCTACATGCGCTGTTTCCACACTCTATACAATATGTACAAAGATAATTTCAATAACGAACGCTCGTGATAAAATACGTAGTTTCCGTAGTTTCGACGGAGATGAATGGATAATAGAGAAGATTTGAGTCAATAACTGAGCAAAGTCTCGAATTGTGCACGACTCCCTAAACCTTTATGACTGGGGTATGTATTTTCTGTAGCAGTTGCAACACTGCTTGTATTAGCGGCGAGGAGAATTTGGATATTCATACCAAATCAAGGAAACAAATCGCGCAAGTATCGTGGAACATTAATAAACACTTCACCTTTATCACTACCTTATTCCATCAGACTAAAAAGATTGGTCGCATTTGCTTGACCCCATTTCAACTAACACTAAGAGGGCTTTGAGGTTTAAAAGAAAGTCACAAGAAATTTGGTAATTTTTCCTCCTTGCTAGACTAGTTTCCCTGATTTGGTACTAGAGAGAGTTTCCTTCACTGCGTGTTCAGTGTCATTCTTCAATAGCTATAAATCCTTCCTCTGCTGTGCTTAGGCCACCTCGAGAACATACGTCTCGATGCCGACTGTAAATGAAAACTTAGAGCATTACCCGTATGTTATTCCTTATTAAATACCATTGATGAACTTCAGACATTATTGTTTCTTATCAAAAATAAAGTAACTTGAAGACGTATCAGTACATTCCATGTCTTGCCCAAGTAAAAAAGTTCTACTCCAATTCCCTGCTTCCTGTCGTAATTGTCAACAAGAAAAGTATGACCTCAGGAATTTAGCGCCACCGTCTTCAAACGCTCTATTATTCACTGTCAAACTGGAGGTCCATTTACTCCGGGATGTAAAAAGTGACACGTGTTTCCTCTAAGACAGCCTCGTTTTGACACAAAATGACGACAGACAGGAGGCGTTCCTCTGCCCCTTCCCCTTCCACGTGCACGACCGCGCGGCATTCCTCGACCCCTACCACGCATGCTCATGTCTCCAAGTTCGCCTTCTTCGTCTTCGTCACCATACTCCCCTCCATCGTCGAACTGGTCCGAGTGGAAGTCGTCTCGTTGGGCCTGGGATAGGACGAAGTGTGATCAATTAACTATCTTTTCTTCCTGTTCATTGCCTTCTTTCGTACGATACATAAAGTATATAAACGAAAAAGCATTTTTGACGTCAGAGGACTGTAATTCGCGTAATGATTGATCTTCCAGCCCGACAAAACATCGGGCAAATAACACCGAAATATTCCCGAACAGACAAACTACTTGCTGATTGTCAATTTATTGGTTGAGCACTTAGTGTTAAGATCAGTCTGAAGGATTGTGGGTTATTAAATTTCCAAAGATTCAGTTGTGGTGCGTCACGACGCAAGTGTAATTTCTACATTAGATCGTTATTCACCTGAAGATACAATTGTAAATCAACCACCTAAACACATTTGGAGAAGTTGTTGAGTGATTGAGTGCTGACTTCTTTACAGTGGTACACCAGTTACTATAATCAGAAAATTAACATGATCTAATGAGGGACAGAATCTACGTACACAAAGCTTGAGGCTTACCATCTCTGGTAAAAGAGGCCGAGGACCTGTTGGCATGGCTCTACCAATACCTGGTCCGCCCTGCATTCGAATTGGCATGTGTCCCCTCATGCGAGGACCCATCATGGGGCCCTCTGGACCTGGAAACAGGGGCCCAATTGGTGGACCTTGTCTAGGGCCTCCAGGGCCTTGAAAATGCGGGGGCATATCAGGTCTTAAATGTGGGCCTTGTACACCTCTAGGACCCATAGGACCGGATGGTCTGAAGACATTAAGACTCCCCATTGGATCACCTGGTGCTGTGGCGAGAACAGATCAAGAGATCGTCACATGACATCTAACATTTCGAAAAGCTGGTAATGTTTAAAAATAATTGAAGTTTTACATTTACTGACGAAGGACATTTCTCAAATGATCTCCCTTTGCTTGGGAAGCCTCTCTGTTAAACAGTCTTATAGAGAAGTGGGTATCCTCAAAAAATATTTACTTCACTTTTAAATACACGATCTTAAAGATGTACAAAGTCCCTGTTTTAGTACCAGGGTTCAATATAAGGCCTTTCACATCAAAATAAATCTTCAATCTCTGCTTAACCACGTTCTGAAAGTGAGGGTTCATGAACTCAGAAATGGCCTGTTATTAAAATACTTTTAAGTTGTCTAGGGCTCTTGAGAATAGAGATTATGGACGAATCTGTAGCTTCGCAGCCTACACTCTTATCATCGACGGCTCTTAAAACCGCCAGCTAATTCCATACTTAAGAAGAAAGTACACGCAGAATTTCATGGGTTATTCTCGAAGGTAATTGATATCTAAGAAAAAAAAATCACCAAGTACTTTTGGCCTGAGGGTGGTTGCATGGTTTATTCACTTAGAAAAACGAATAAGATTGGCTGATGTGAACTGAACACGCATTTTGCAGAACACAATCAAGAAGAACATTTCCTTTGACAAGTTTTACACTAATGTTTTCGTTAAGAAAGTAGGGATTGCCTTTTTGAATTCAACCAAAGTCTTCTAGCAACCTATAGAGCCTGTGACCCACATCACAAGTCGAACCTGTTGTCCACTATACAAAAGCTGATGCTGACAAAATAATTGACTTTACCTGCACCCAGCAATCCTGCTCCCGCACCCATGCCAGGCATGGATCCTGGTCCAGGTCCCTGCATCCGTGGAGGACCCATTTTGTTCTGCTGAAGAGGTTCCAGGATATGTTGGAGGGCTGGGGGTAAGGAGGAACTCCCTGCCTCATTTTGAGGAAGAGACTGAGAACCAGGCGCCATGTCGGGTGGGTTACCCTGCGTGGAGGGATTCTAAAACAAACAGATATTCGAAGAGTTTGTGAACAAGTTCAGAACTTATTTACGTTTTCAAATATCAAAAAATAATTGGAAACCCAGCATGTACTACCGAGTTCCTTGAAAAAGAAAGAAGTTTCAAGAACAGTACAAGATAAGGAACTTGAGGTTATGACTGAAAGTTCAAGGCAGCTTCTGAATGACTAACGGCCCTCTCAAGAACATTCACACTGCAGTTACATATTAATTATTTCCTAATATAATTTAAGTCTCTTGGATTTAACTATGAAAAAACAAACTAGTTCTTCAAACATCTTGTCGTTTTTCATCCCAAGCTAAATTGCAAATTAATTTTTTCACAATTCCTTCAAACCCAGAAGAAAATTTTTTGCGAAAAGGTCTCTAACTGGTGACAATTAATAATGCTTCAATAAAATGAGCAGAACTCACCACCAGAGAAAGGGGGGAAGTTTTTCCTCACGAAAATTAACTCGTTATCACTGTTCAATAATACTATAAGAATTATATAACATATTGTAAAACTTGAACATTGGAATACGCATAATGACAGTCTAGTTACTTGCCATGATTTTATCAAGGAGGGCTTGAACTGTATAAGGTCCCCTGTCACCACTTGCATGAGATACCGACCCAACTGAAATAAAAAAACAGAGATTACTGACGTCTTAAAAAAATTCAAACTCACTTTGGTCGAACACAAAACAAGGACCATTTACCAGCTAAGGAAAAGAAAGAAATTTCTTAATAGTAACAGCAAACCTGTAGTTGAGGATGCTGATGACAACAGTGACATAAGTGCTGGTGGAAGCTGTACACTGCTATTGTTAGAAGATACAACTGGAGCCTTGGCAGGTACATGAGTGGTTCCTTTCTGCAGGAAATATATATATACAAAATAACAGTCAGACAGTCATTCAGTCAATCAACAAAACATTCCATAGATCCACATCTTGGTCAGCCAGTAGGAGAGTTAGTTATGCTGAGTATTTGCCATCTATCTCTTGTATGAGCTGCTATATATCAATACATGTACCTCATCATGTGGTATAACTCTGGGTTCTTCAGGACTTCCTTTTTGGTTATCAGGTTCAGGTTCTGCTGGGCTGTCAGGCAAACTGAAATGTAATAAGAACATAACCCATTTTGATCAAACATCAAAATAGCAAACCACTTAAATTACCACACATGGGGTTAGGAAATAGCATCTGACAACACTGGCTTTACAATTATTCCAAATTGGAAAACTTAGTCTACCAATGACAGTACTCGTTCTGGCAAGATTAAAGAAAACGCAGAGCACTTCTGGACATCAAACTACTATAATTCTAACACAGGAATATGTGAATCAAGTTTAGTTAACAAATCTATTCCAGTTGTATCTGTTCAGATGACATCAAAATTTGGTAAGAACAAAATAGTGGTGCACCAGGTGCAGTTGAGTGCATCAGTGATATTCTTATCATGCTCCAAAAGGGAAAAGAGAGCTTCTAAAACATTGGCAAGCACAAAAAAACTGGCCATGTACCAAGACTTTACCTTGACTTGGTTAAAAATATATCTGCAAGTATACTAGCTTCTCTGGTTTTCTGTGAGCCAAAGAATCACATAATTATGAACTGTTATCTATAATAAACAGGGGTTTACAGAGTAAATAGAGCAAAATAAATTGAAGAATGTTGCAACATTGGCAGTCATAAAAAAGTGGACCTGTGTATGGTTTAAAATGATCTATTTAGTGTCTAGTAATTATTACTGATATTCCACATAACACTTAGGGAAAAAATGGAAGATAAATTCTTCATGTGTCTTTTTGAGTCCCACCTGTACTTTTCAATAATTTCTACACAGCAAAAGTTATTGAATGTGTTAAAAGCTTGAATCTCATGTATGCACAAAATCTCTCAAGATGCCCTCCCACTGACTTCCACTGTAGAAGGTCATATTATGTATATCTTTACAAGTATGCTCATGGTAAAATGTATCAGTTGCTGCTCGGCACAGAGTAAAGCAAGTAACAGATGAACACTCCTATATAGGAGTGTGTTGGACACATAGTGTACTATACCTGTATTTGCCTCTGTGTACTCTTTGAACCTTTTTCCATTTGGTGTTCTAGTGTTAAGGCTCTGGGTCTGTACCACTACAACATGCAAACAGATTATTGTTGATTTAGGACCTAATTAGCTGATGTGCTTAAATGTAGATCACAGGTTTACTGAAACAAATGCAGGTCTTGTGGCAATTGCAAGATTACTTTTTGGCAAATTATGAAATATGATGTAAGTTTAAAAATTCAGTTACACAATAAAGGAAAGGATTGATATTAAGGTGTAGCAGAACTGAAGTTGGATGATTTGATTGTTTAGATAAGAGGAATTCTGAGAAGGGTATTGATGGCAATAGTTTCTGATGTTTTAGCTACCTCAGTAAAGGTGGTCACAGAGTCACATGACTATGATGACCACTTCAGCTCGGGTTGGTAGTTGTAACAGTCAGTCATTGAAAACAAGGAAAGTCTTTTTCCCACTAGACTACTCTCCCTTAGACCACCTACTTGAAACTTAAAATTCCCCCTTGTCAAACAATGATTAAGCATCATCTATACCTTGATTCTCTCTGCCATTATGTCTTCACTCAAACGTTTGGCTTGTTCCACAAGCTGAAACAGAAAATCATGCATTTTTCAGACTACACAGATACCTCAATAAGAAAGGTATGCAATTACCTGCTGGAAATGGTGGGCTGAACTCAGGTTGCCAAATTGGTAAAAACTAATTTCATTAGCTAAAATTATGTCACCACCACTTGGTGACCAAAATATTTGCAGCTTAGAGTGCTGACAACTACCTATTTTCTTAACTGAAAAAATGCAAAATGTGACCAATTATTTCACAATTTTTGTCTATAAAACTTGGTAAATACACCTACCTGTCTCTCCCTGACCATTTCATTATGTGCTGCATCAAGGAAGTTCACAGGATGTCTCACCAGAGCTAAAGAAAATAAGAATGCTGATAAGCCAAAAGTGTTTATGCAGTATTTCATGCAGAATAGACACATAACATTATTTCATAGTTACACATATAAACACCTTTTCTGTATGATCATTATATTTTTTAAAAACACTTAATAGACAACAACTCAAGTTTCATTTTCCAATCTGGGATACAAAGTGAAACTCATCTTGTGTTAGTGATTGAAATTACAGCTGCCCAGTAGTGATATCTTAAAAATTCATCATTCAACAATAGATAATGCACAGGCTGTGGAAATATGTAAACCAAATTTTCAAAAAAAAGTGGAACAAACTGACCTCTTTCATCTTCATCCATCTCAAAGTAATGGAAGATAGCAAGGTTGGCATCATCATCAGGCCATGTAACTCTTTTACCCTTCTTGGACTTCTTTGCTGGTTTCTCTTCTAAATCATCAGCTGCTGATGTTACTGTATCTGTTGATGCCTGTGATGCTGAAGAAATAACAAACAAGCATCAATCACAATGTGAATTTAGCGAGCCTAAAAATGTGATTGGTGTTGGTAATGACCTCCCCTTATTTATTGCTTACATGTATTTTGTTAATTTTGGCTGATAGATACTACCTTTTTTGGTGGAGTTCAAAGGAATTGCTAAAATTTCCATTTCCTATTTATTAACACTTGGTCAAGCATTTTGGCACATTTTGCAGGCTAAAATAGAGATTTTGGCAGCCTGAAATGTATTTTAGCCCACTCTTATGCTTATGTGATTGTTCAGACTGTTTTATTATCACTTTTTCACTTTTTATTTTCTTGATGCCCTCCAAAGTTGTAGTCATGATAGTAACACAGACTATTTCTTGGGTATGAATATGTTTTGGGTACTTCTTAGTATCATTTAAACCCTCCCCTAGTGGCTCATGACTCTGAGTTGGGTCAAGAACATAAACTCTAATGTTTTATCATTTTGGGAGAATTTCAACACAGTGCTACTTAGTCCCTTGTATTTTAGTGATTTCAGGTGCTTTGATCCCAAACTTTAGGAAATTTTCTTTATTAAATTTGTTCATGTTACACATGTACATTTCCAGAACAGGAGTAATGCTTACCTGCATTTGGAGAATTATCTTTTTCAGATGGCTGTCAAAGAGAACCAGTGTTAAAAAGATAAGTTTAAATTTCGACAGTTGAGAAAAACTGAGTTTAGTTGCAATAAGAAGTTTCAATGTAGCTGCTCACCTCTGAAATTTTGCTAAAATCTCCAATATCTCCACCTGAGTGATAAAAAATTCCAGTTATTATTATATTTCAGTCAAAAAGGAATCTCTCTTGTGTTGCTTCTTGATGACCATATCATTTAAAAAAAAAAACCAAGGAAAAATTATCTCTGATGGACTGTGGCTTTCAGGTTTGGTACTAACTGACGTGTATAATTGTAGGTCATATAATGCTTTCCTCATGAGAAAAATATATTTAATCCAATTTTGAAAAAAGGTACAAGGAAGAAGTTGAATAAAAAAGAGGGCTGATTTGTCTGAGTAAAGATATAAATACTGCTCTGACATAGATGTCATTTGGTGTCCTTACTTGGTGCAGATGTGTCATCAGGTGAGCCATTAGGAGATGAAGCAGACTTGTTATTGCTAAAATCAGCAGACAAGATGATTGTTATTATTGAAATCAAAATGCTAATAGACAAAATAACTTGTATTATATACCCACGACACTACCAAGAAGATAATAAATAAATAAAAAAACTTATCTAATTTTTTGGCATCATCTACAAAATATTTGCAACTTTTTGTTAAGAACACTATGATAGTGAGTCTGTGTTTTGTTTGGTATGAAGCAGTAACATGAACTGTCTTGAGGGTTACTGTCTTACATATAGTTCAATGTTAGCCTCAGTACATATGATGATAAGTTTAAATCATTGGTGATTAAATCCTAAGTTAGTTACCCTGAACTATCCACTTCTTTATCTTTGTTCTCTTTTTCCTTTTCCCTTCCATCCTCTTGACCATGTGTTTGTGACTGACTGTCCAAAATAGCATCAAGAATTCCTGTATATGTTGGCTGAACAAACAAACATGCATGAAGCTCAAGAGAAATTTTGTACAAAATTTTAAAATAGGAAAGACAGGTTTGTTAAAAGCAGCCTCTACATTGACCTATATTTCTTCATACAAAAATGAGACTGGAGAAGACTAACAAGTTGCAAATCTGCGTATACTGTATTGCAACTTAGACTGCCTACCTTGGTGGTTGAGGTTGAAGAGGTTGAAGTTGTGGTGTTAGTGGTTCCAGTCTATAAAGATATTAAAAGCATCTCTCTTTAAGTATCCCCCTAAAAATTCCTCAAAGCTAGAGAGTAAGGCCAGAGATCTGGTTTTGAAATAGCTAACCCAGTCATGTGAAAAAACCCCATCATTTTCCCAGCTGCTGTAGAGACTACTTGCAAACTGCACTACAGTTTTGTGTAACCAATGTTGCAGGTAAAGGGGGAAATAGTGTCAGTGCTTCTGGCACTAAAAGGGGCAACAGAACTCACACACCCTAAAACAAAAAGAGGCCTTTTATATTTCATTTAGAATAGTAAGACAGTTTCAGAATGACTTGACTCAATGAATGGGAAATACCACATTGATGATGTACATGTAAGTACCTTTGAAGCTGTGGTCACACGTTTTCTTTTTCGCACAGGGGCAGCTGATGCTGCAATTGTTAAGGCATTCATGAATCCTGCACTCTCCATAGCAACAGCTAGTGAAAACAAAAATAGAGAGCAAATGACCACAAGTACTAAAAGGGTAGGTTTCTAGTTTATAATACTGATCCATCCCTTAGCACAAAGAGTAAAGGACTGACCATCATTTTATGAAGGGGGAGATTCCTGTATTCTCAGACAATTTTTTTCATAATTGTTTTTCATCCCCCCTCCAACTAATAAATAGTTGGAGCTACCAATAAAGGTTATTGTGAGTACTTCAGGAAAACATGTATAAGTTGATTTAATTTGATATATGTGTATCTAAAGGATCTTTGACACTTTATGAGACACCACTGCTTGCCAAATATTGTAACTATTGATTTTCAACTCCATCACTTGAAAAAGTCTATAAAAACTACTTCCTAAATGATTTCTGACCCTTCATGCAATTTAGCCATCTTCTGTACATCCTTTAACCTTTTACACCCTAACAGAAGTATGTATATTCTCCATACTGTCCTCCATACTGTCCTCCATATATTTTCTAAGGTGTTGATGAGGAGAATTTGTTTAACAATCAGGAGCTTCTTTAGTTGGTGATCATTCCTTTATTCTTGTGACTTAAATGTGTGATTCAGGGGTACAGTCACTAGATGCTAGTCTCTCTCAGGGGTCAAAGGGCTATGAAAATCAGCAATAATCTTTCATTTTGATCATAGACAGTGAATTGTGAACTTTGAACTCTTCCATGTACTTTGAAAACTGGAAATAAAGCAGACAGGAACTTACGTTTAGGCTGAGGTGGGATAACTTTTGTTTTAGAAACATTCTTTTGTGCCATGCTCTGTTTGACATCACTTTTAACTTCATTCAGTGTTTTAGCCTTCTTCTCAACTTGAGGTGACCTGTTTGAGTCTGTTGAGTTGTTGTCTCTATAACATAATCAATAAAATTTGATAACTCAAGATGTCTTGCATTTTATTATTTATAATAAGTACCTTTTAGGCTGGCCTTAATTTGCTACCTGGAATATTTATCAGCCTGGACACGTGATTGAAAAGTTATAACAAATTATGACAGTGCAAAGCACCAAATGAGGAAACTGAATGTATTCACTCTGATCTGGAAAACAATCTCACCTCATCCTCTTGGCAGGCTTCCCTTCTGTCGAAGAGACAGCTAAAACCAAATAATCAAACCTTGTTAAGGTAGCAAACAACCTCACTTTTAACTACCTACATGTATTCTTTCATACAATGCTTTAAAATGTCTTACTTAAAATACGTTAGGATATATCTGCAATCTAGTTGGTAATTGCAAAACATTCATTGATACGGTAAGTCTCTTAACCATTTTCTCAGTGTTGTCCTAATAGATTCTGTTCAATTAATATACATGTGCGTACACTCACCCTGCTTGGAGCCTTGCAAAGTATCCTCACCATTAGCAGAACCATTCAGCTTAGGCTTGTCACCTTTTTCTGAAAGGGACAAACAAATTTAGGATAAACATGCACAGCCAGAGAGTGATTGGAGACTTTTGATCAAGCCTTGATATTGTAATACATTTACAAGTACATGTATATGACTTCAAAAGTGACACTGCAGAGTAATCTTGTACCTGATGTTCCTGTCTGATTTCTCACAAGACTCATCCATTGTTTGACAATTCCTGAGGCAAGCTTCTTGACATCTGAAACAAAAAAAGGATATAAATCAATCAGTCTATATGAGAGGACATCCTAGAGAAACTTACTAAGCCAGATCTAGAGCATACTGACTTCACTAGTCTAAAGCAAATTAAATACCATTGCTTCTCATTGGAGTTCATCAGTGGTACCAAACCCATGTTACTCCAAATTATTCTCATTTCTCTAATTGAAGTGAATTTCAAAATGATACTTACCTTGATTTTCTAACTTTGTGAGATGCTTGATAATCTTGCCAGTATTGCCCTACAAAACATTCTTGAGATATAATTGGGGTTTTCTACCAAATTAACCATGATCTAGTGGTCTTTGGTTTCAATATTACAACTGAATGTGCACAAAGTTTTGATGAATTTAATAGGTGAGTGTGATTCAATAGAGACTGTATTTAGGCTGAAGGGTAGTTAGAAGATTTCAGGGATCATACACATGAACTAAAAAAAGGCTTAGAGTATTATTTGAGAAAAATGGCAAAATTGAACAAAGCAAAGAACATCCTACTTTGTAATGCAAACAGCAATTATGATAAATGTTTCAAACACAAAAACCATCAATAAATGAATGTACATGGTCTCTTTCATTCCAGAGCAGTAAATGAAAGCTAAGTAATGAAAAACAATGATAGAAAACCAATCAGAGTTTATTCAAGAAATATCAACGTACTTGTTTTAAAGTGTCTATATTTACAGGAAGATCTCTCAAGACCTGAATAAAAGATGTAGGATCAAAAGTGAGAGACAATGTTGCAACACAACACACAGATTGACTTGAGGCAACATATTGGTAGCTGTACATTCCAATATAAGCACTATATCACAGTACAAGACTAAATTATAAACACGTCACACTAAAATGAATGTATATGCATAAACACATTACTCAAAGTTTCATCCACTCATGCAACAAGGTCTCTCACCTCCAGTAATTCCAATAGCACAGGAAAATTCTCAGTTTTCTTTGCCTCAACTAACCACTTATTCAGTATATTCCAGCCTCCTACACTCATAAACCTGTTGAGATCAAGAAGCAAATTTTCATTTATTCTCAACAAATGGGCATTTAATAACTGGTCAAAAATAATCTGTTATAATTCAAACATTATCAATCAAGAGCACACTTTTCAACCCTTTGACCCCTAAGAGTGACCAGGATCTAGTTTCTCCTTACTAAAGAAGCTCTTTATTGTTTAAAAATAAACAACTAATTCTCCTTCTCAGCATCTTAGGAAATGTGTTAAGAATAGTATTGAGAATATGCATATTGATGTTAGGGTGTAAAGGATTAACCCTTTAACTCCCAGATCAAATTTGAAATTCTCCTCTCTGTCAACCATACTATTCTTATCATGTTAGTTCAGAGAGTTTAGTGTTGAATCAACTTATTATCTCCAAATTGATATTTTTCTTAATTCTCATCACTTACCTGGTTGATATTGTATTGATATTGTAAGGAGATTCTGTCTTGGTCACTCATAGGAGTCAAAGGGTTAAGGAGTGAGAAGCAGACCAGAAAATCCAACACAGCTTTCATCAAGAGCTTTTCATGTAGCATAAAACTAACAAGGATTTTTCCACTAACATAATTGCAGGAAATCCAAAGGTCATTGTGGAATATATTTGACATAAAAGAAGTGACTGAGTTGCACTTTAATTAGACAAATATCAATCATGAACAATGAAGAGAAAATCAATAGCAAAAGTTACCACAACCACTCTTTAATTAGGCTGGGCTCAATAACAGAGCCCACTCTAGTAATAGTGGTTGCTTAATATTAGTAGAAGTAAAAAGCAGTCATACTTTTCTAGTGATTCACTTGCAGTTTCACTTTCCTTTGCAGCTGAAATAGTAGCTTTCAGGATGTTCAAGTAAATACAACGACTCATCAACTTCTCTGCATCTCGCATTAAACTGGAAACAAGTTAAAACAATCAAGATAATGGGAGAATGGTAAGCATTATACCCTTTGCAAAAAGTTTCTTACTGACAAGGACCACACAATTGTACAAAAGACTTATCAACCTTCCTGTATCGTACCTTATAATCCGCACCACCTCTTGAGGGGTCTTGATATCTCCTAAACAACCTAGCATTGGTTTGAGAGCATTCAGCAGAGTGTGAGGCTCACCACCTGATGTGCTCTGAAAGTAACGAACAATTCTAGTGAAGAAATGATTCTCTCGAGTGTACTGCAATTAGAGCAACTACAGAAAGAAATTTGATAAAATTCAGAATTCTAGAGATTTAAACAGGTGTCACCCAAATAGTAGTTGAAACTACTGCCAATTGAGCAACAAAGTGACATGATGGGAATGAGGAAATTTCAGTGGGTTTTTCATTCCAGCAAAGAATCTGATTTCCTCCTTAACAAAGAAATCTCTTCTCTCCTTGACATGGAGAAAAGAAAGACTAATTTGAAAAAGTGCATGATGTTGTAGATGTGCTCTTGTAGGATGAGGTTTGCTTCCTGGTTCAACTGCTCAGTTTAATTTATTTCCTTTTACTGCATCTTTACCATATTTTTTTCCAGCTCTTCTCTCTTTTCAGGCTCAACTTTCACAACAGTCCTTCACCTGAAGAAAAACAATTGAAACAAATATCAGTTACAATGATTAAACACAATTTATGATATTTCTTGACTGGAGTTTAAAAATAATTAATTGATATTTCTTCATTCAATTTGGGAATTTAGGATTTAGAATTCATCCATTATCCAAAGTGCTGTCATGTTTTGCTAGTGCTTACAAGTATCTGTTATCGTGTGCAGAGTAAATAAAAAAACTATGCAACAATAATCTGTTGGTATAAAGATAACAATCAGGTACTGGATTACACTGGGTTGTTTTAACTGCCAATATACCTGATTCTACAAGTCAGAATGGGACATTTCTACCTCATTCTAAATTTATATGGCAGATTTCAACATGGAGTTTTGTAAATAATGAGGGTTGCATCACACTCTGTCCTTCTATCTTTTACTCAATAAATGAGGGAATCAAAACACATCTTGCCTAACATTGCTACCAAGAGACAATAACTGAACAATTACAACAAATATCACAAAATTGCTGTCTATTAGAAATGTCATTAATTTGACCTTTTGCAAAGTTGTGTTTCCCTAGTCCATTGTTGTAAAGAATAAGTGAAATTAGCCTTAGCTAATAACTTCACCAGAGATAATAAAAAAAATGTTTAGAGACAGTGCCTCGAGTTTCATCTTTTTTTTTCTTCATTACATTTTGGTGTTGCACACCTTGGTTTGCAAATATTGTTTTTTTTGGAGGATACTTTTCATTATCTACAAGAATTCTACACAAATCTCCTTTTACAGAGAAAGCCACAACAATAGTTATTGTACCATAGTGTCTTCTGGCAAGAATAAAAAGACAAAGAAAGCTAGTATTGAACAAATGCTTTTGGGGTGGATATAAATATTAAGTTACTTCTTCAGTCTAGTTTTCCAATTTTCACAACAAGTGGAGCAAAATTATATTTGTGCCCCAAAACATTGCTTGAGCAACCTGCTAGGTTATGAAACTTCAAGCGCGAACTTTCTCACAATCAAAAATTGTTAGAACCTTAGATTGAATCAATTCTACATTGGCATCCTGTGAACTACAAAAATGCAAGGTGTGTATACATCTAGTGAACATCGTGAAAACTCCTTGAGCACTAGCATCAGCTGATCTGATTCACTTTGTAAAAACATCTTCAACAAAAGCTTGATTCATTTATCATAGTTTGATCCCAGAAAGGTGGCCAATCACAATTACTTCTCAGAAACTAGGTAAAATTTACATGTACTACATTACAAAAGAGGAAAAAACTCATTGATTGTCACTTCCTTGTTGCATCAAAGACACCTCTGACAGGAAAAGCATGAAGCAGAAGTTTTTCTCATCTTATCAAGCCACTGATCACCCATAAACACCAGATCTGAAGGAGTCAGTGGATGTACAAACTTAGGATTACTTGGCATTTCTTGTTTCAAAGATCACTAGTCTGCAAAAACTTCATGCCAAAGATTCTTTAGGATTTCTCCAGTAAACATTCGTATGGGCAGTTCACTTTTATCATGACTTGCTTGAAAATTCTAAGACTCAAGTAGTCACTTGGTATAAGTTAAAAATTCCTGAGTTCTTAAGATCACTCATTGTTCATGAATATTAATGCACACGTTTGGTAACCTTCATCTCTTCGCGTCCTTTTGAATTTTCCTCAACCTGCACTTGTTATATTTAAAGGGGAAAATAGTAAGTCAAGAAATTTTCGTATCTGATAACTCAGGGACAAAAAAAAGACTTGTTTTGAAAATCCAACATTCCATAGTCGCAACTTTGTGACTAAACTCCGCAATATCGAAAACGGACTTCTTACGATTGTTAATCTGGCTGTGGCCACACAACCGAATTCACTGCTTCTCAAATACCTCTCGAATTAACTGAGAGTTCGCGAAAGATGTTCTAACCAAATGTAAGACATAATATATCAGATTCGAAAGTCAACCAATCCAACGCTAATAGTTCACGCATCCATTCAAGTTACGTATAGAGCGTGTGCATCATCATATTTTTCGCGGAACCTTCCTTACGATCTTTCGATTTTCCATTTCGAGACAGTCTTTATCTCAGACTGCTTATTTTCTCCATCGAAGCCGTTTTAGTTTGAGCGAGAAGGAAAGAAGGAAGGACACAATTCGTGTTAAACCACCACGCTACACCGCTTTATTTGCAGCAACGTAAATGGTGGCTTCATATGCCTAGTGAAATCGAAACAGAAAGGCTCATATTCAACCAACTTACTCTTGGGCACTGTGCGTCACTTCGATAACCCTTTCCCCAGAGAACTTTCTTTCGTCAATACATACACGTTCTAGGCGTGTACATAAATTTTAAAAAGAATTTGGGGCGACCTAAGTTCACGCATTGCACACGACAACTAGTTTGAGCAGCCATTTCACATGGCCGCTCAACTGCAAACTGTCTGTGGATAGTTTCCTCTTTAAAATCGCATTTCTTCACCTAAAAATAAACAAAAGGAACAAAATTAGTCCAACATTGTTACCACGTCGAAATTTCCACTTCACATCGTACTTGTGAGGAAGAAAACACCGCAAATTTCTGGCAGAGAATTTTCCGAGTAACATGGCTTACCAATTTTCACTTGGACTCACACTAACACCCCAAAGGGACGATGGACATGTAAGAGTCAAAGAAAGAAACTACGCTGCAATTGGTCAATTTCCCATCAATCAAAAATATCTGTCAGTGAGTAGACTGGGTCAGATTGAAAAAGTTCAATATGGCGGCCTTTCCTCGAGTATTACCGAAGAATCTTGCTATGAATTCATTGTGTGATTTTGGACGTAAAATTCCACAAAGATTTTCTAGTTTCTGTTTCAGAGATAGATCGTTATATAATTATCGCCCAAGGGATCAATCATGGCTCGTGCGACGTTCTTGGGCCAGAGGTAATATGTCATGTGCAACCCCTTCCTTAACAACTTAGCAGTCTTCAGATAGGTTTGAATTTTTTACGTTAGCCTGATAATAAAAAATCGCTCGTAATTTTTTTACATTTTTTGCCGGAAAAAATTTTTCCAGCGACCATGCTTGCTGGGGATTTAAATGCAGTATAAATCCTTTTTGGGTTCTATTTATTTTATGAATGTACCTTCTGCATGTATGTACATGATTATTGGCAATACTTCTCGCTTAATCATCGCCAGTTTTACTTACAAGGGAATTCATTGTAGAATTTGGTCACTAAGCACTTTTAAATAGACTGTCTGTGCGATTCATATTAAATATTGGATCTTTATTCATAACATTTAATGTACCCACAATATTTTATAGGAATTACCCATTCAAGTGACAAGAAAAATATTAAAGCCCACAGAGTCATCACTCCCATTACAGCAGAACTCCTTAGAAGTGTGCAATATGGTAACTGTTCATCTTTTAACTTAACCCTTTAACTCCCGTGAGTGACCAAGACAGAATTTCTCCTTACAATATCAATACAATATCAAACAGATAAGTAATAAGAATTAAGAAAAACATCAATTTGGAAATAATTAGTTGATCTCATATTAAATTCTCTGAACTAACATTATAAGAATTGTACAGTTGACAGTAGGGAGAATTACAAATTTGATGAGGAAGTTAAAGGGTTCAGCATACATATTTACAGTTTCAGTCAAGATGAAGGGGCTGATCTGTCAGCACAGACATCTCTTCTTGTAAATCTTTATTTGTTTGATGGAATTCTGAAGGTCTGTAAACCCAGTTTAAAACCTATGGTCAATTGGATGTGACATTAAAGTATTCTTGTTTATTTTGTTGTCTTTTTTTTCTTTTTAATTTCTTCACAGGAAAAGAGCAATGGATGTCTTCAGCAATGCGTAATCATCTAGTTGGAAAAATTGAAGGAGGAATCATTGATCCAGATTCTACTGATAAGTATGTGTCTGTGTGTGTGTGTTTTTTTTTAATTTACAGTGTACATGTAGAAGCTAATCAAAACCCTACACCCTTATATTAATATGCAAATTCTCCATACTGTTCTCTATACATCTCTTATGAGGTCAACAAGGAGATTGTGCTTAGTCATCATTTCCTTTATTGTTGTGACCCCAATGTTTGATTCAGGACTTAATTGTAAGGAGAAATTAGATGCTAGTCACTGTTAGTAGTCCAAGGGTTAAATCAAAGTTTAAATCATTATGGTTTCAAGCTAATGAATAAAGGGGGTTAAGTTCTAAAGAAACTGTGGTGCTGTATCGGTGGGGATTATTACAACTTAAGATAGTTTGGCTTTCTGAACTGAGTTGATAATGTAAATTGCCCACCATAAAAAATTTCTGAAGGAAATGTTGCGAGGGTAAGTTCTTTGTCATTTGCTCTAACTTGCAAAGGGCAAACATTCAAATTGTCAACAGAAGCTATTTAAGCTGGCCAATTTACAATATCAACTTAGTTGATTAAACCAAAGTATTTGGTTTCAAACTAGTTTGTTATGTATTTTCCCTTTTAATCCCTGAATAAAGAAACACAAATCAACTGCTCTTATTTCAAATTTTAAGTTATTTTAAACTACAAGATATATTAGGCAATAGACAGCCTTATAGGCCAAATTACAAGTGACTATTTTGCAACTGACTTATCACTGGAATTCTTATTTCAGTGAATACTGTCTGCAGGATGCATTCAGTAGAGTTCGAATTCAAGAATTTCAAAATGTGTCTCTTTGTCTTATCATAAAATAACATAACTTAGTTTATTTGGAAATGCACGTTAAGAGTCAGGCAGCTGCAGCTGATGTGGACCTGTCTAATACTAATTTATTTAAAAAAATACAACATTTAAATAAGTAATATAATTGTATTTATTAAAATATCTATATATTAGTTTAGATTCATCAAGTGTCTAAGAATAGAAATAACTTACAAGTCTGTGGTATATTGGATGTGATTCAAATGAAAATAATTAGAAGTTCATATAGAAGCTAGTGTACTGAGTATAAACCAGCCTCAGAATGGAATGTGTTCAGATTGATTACCAAGCTGTTTCCATCAGCTAGGTGTAAACTGAACACATACCATATATATGATTAAATTTAGATCTAATTCAGGGATCTTTGGAGTTGAAAATCTAGAAAAATAAAGCAGAAAGCAATATACCTATACCAATATGTAAATAAATAGCAAATAATCAAAATAAGTAAAATTTTGTTTTATATCTTGTAGATTGACTCTGGAACATTTTCAAGTTTTCTGGCCCAGTAATTCTCATTTGCTGTTAATCTTTGTTTTATTATTCCTACAACACCACAGTTGCTGAGTTGGCTGAGCATGTTGTGACTATCTCCTCTTTTATTATTGTGGTCTAGTATCAACTTGTTAGAAACAAGATTAATTTTTAATTTTAATGATACTTTACCATTCTCACTGTGATAATGATAGAACTTGGGTGGCTCTGATTTAAAGTAGCTAAAAATATACAATATATTAATTGTTTGATAAGTTTTTTTTTTACTCATTTCATTTTTGCTCAAGGAGGAAAACCAATCTGGACAAATTTCCAAAGAAATTTTAAAGGCCAGTTTCCACCCCAGGTAAAGTTCTTTCTCTAATTATAAAGTCATCCTTTTATTAAGTATTTGTGAAGTCTACAGACAAGAAGGTGATGCATTTTGTGTGATTTTGTTGCTGAGTCAATACAACAAGCTTACCTGCCAATTGTGGGACTTAATTTTGTGGAATTTTTTCCCTTGGAAAGCTTTATGTTTTGATCTGTTGCTGCACTCCTAGTCTAATTGCTAAATTTGCCTTTTGTGTTTTGTTTCTTTAACAGAAAACGCGACGGAACTGCTTTGTAAGTTTTTATTTAAATTTTGGTTAGGTACACATGAGAGCCTGCTTTACGAATATCCTGTTGCTTTGAAAAGCCAGTGTACAGCTTCCCCCAGCCTTCTGAAAACAATTTTAAAAAAGGAGTTTTGTTTTAGGGCAGGGTAGTGGCTGTACACAGTCAAGTATTTACCACCAGGTCAATCTGACCTCTGTTATATTAATCTTGCAACAAAATTGGGATTTGTGTAATGTGATTGGACTGCACTATGAACCTTTGGCTGTTGTTAAGTCTAAATATATACAGGCAGCCACTGAGGAATAATTGCAAAGTTTTCCCATTGGGTTCTAGAATAGTAATTTGTATTTCTTTGTAAAGTCGAAAGTATTGCAAGGTTGAAAATAAGCATAATATCATGGATGAATGATGTTGCTTTCATGGACTAAGTTGTTTACACTGTGTGAAAGCACACTTTCATATTTTTCAGTAGGAGTGATACTTTTTTTACTGTAATAAAACAGCCATTTACCTCATTTTAGGTGGTTTAGTGGTGGGTATTTATCTTGCTACTTCTGGCATTAATAAATATCCACTACCAGCTACCTCTGCTTTGGTGAATAGTAGTTCATTATTATCAATAGCATTTTAGCTGAGTATTATTGCTCTATAGATACCTAAAAGGAATATCCAAATATTTGTTGCCATCACTAATAACAACCAGTGGTGAGTCATGAATCTTGTAGAACGCAACAACCTATTTCTTTTTCAGGCTGGTACCAAAGTATGCAGCAATCCCTGTCCCATATGTCAACTTAAAGCAGAGAGAAATTATGAGGTTGTTTATACTGTGAGTAATTAAAAAAGTAATAACTTGTTAACAGCAACTTGTGTTTGTAGAAACAATACCATTTTACCTAACTGGTTTGTTAATTTTGTCATATTCAGTAAAATTATCATAATATACAGCTGGTGGCTGGGGTCTTTTTTGTATCTTTGGTCATGTGACCTGCCAAATTGGCCCAATGTCAGGGTATTTTATGAGTGGTTTTGGTTATAAATATGTAACAGTTATGGTTCTCCACTGTACCCATGGTGCATGGACAAGTTAGGCATGGTAATGCTTGAAGTGTGTCATCCTTCTTTCCTTCTCTGACTGAGTGAAACAAAGGTAGTGGAAGATGTATACTCTCACACTTTGCTGGTGCCTAGGAATAGGTCATGCAATATTTTGTGGGGAGTAGTCTCCGTCTTTGGCAATCATGTACTTGTTAGATTTCAAGTTGTGCCATGTAGTCAGTAGTCAATCTACAAACTGTGCCAATTGAGTGACCCTAGATTTTTCTTAACGTGGAATTATGGCTGAGCTTGCAATGAATTTCAGGTTGTTGCAATTTCCTCCCTCCAGGGAAGTCACAGGCATTTTTCCTGGCTGGCAGGAATTTGAATGAGCTAATCTATAAAAGTTCAAATGTGTGGGAAAACTGGAGAGGTTGATGCTCGGAATTGACTGACACATTAGCCTGGCACAGTGGTTGGTGGCAAGTGAAGAAAAAAAATTTTGTAGAAGTATAGAAAATGCACAACATTAGAAGTTGTTTTCAGAAACTTCAACAGCTTAAAGATTGCACTAAATTTTATTTTCAGGATGTGGGTTTATTGTCGCAGTTCATCTGCCCTCACACAGAAAAGATTCTTGAAACAATCAAAACAGGTGATAGTGCTTTCTACAAAAGGATCAGTGAAGTTATTTTAGTAAGGACAAATATAGCACTACACATAGTAACCCTTCTCTTTTTCATTTCTTTGAGGCTATCATAACCAACTCGAGTAATTTAATCATGTGCCTACCTTTTAATTCGCATCTTGGTCAGTGTGAGCACTTGCTACCCAGGAGTCTCAATAAAAGGCACTTAGTGGCAGTCAACTGCTGCCCATAAGACCTCCGACTGCTGTCTGTTTAGCCTGCAAGCAAGTTCTCTTGTTTTGATTTCACCCAATGGCACAGCTGGCTATTACACCATTGGCAGCTACTCATGGAAAAAATTATGGAAAACCCAGTTATACAGCTTTTTTTTTTTTTTGCTGTGCTTGGATCATTTGTTTATTTACCTAATTGTTTTCCTTAAAATATTGAGGGGGAGTTTTCAATTGCATTAATTTTTTATGCTCTTTTTGTTACAGGTGTTTGCCAAAAACAGCACAAACTTTTAACAAAGGCAATAATCGAAGCTCGAGACAAAGGTATGCTGTTGGGATTTTTTTTGTGGAATTTTATCAGTTTAAGATGTATTGTTGCCTTTTTGTGAATGTGGCCTAGAGAACTCAAGGAGGAGTGCACAGGAGCACAAAAGGTTGTGGTGATGTAAGAGAGAATAGAATACAGTATAGACAATTCTAAGACCTTTCCACTGATCCTAACTTTCTACATCAATCCGTTGGGCACTACGCTTTGCAGTTGGTTAGTTGCAAAGTGCTCCATCTATTGCAGTCTACTTGCCCCTGTCATGGTGTATATAACTCTACTTGTGCAATTTTTCGACAGGCTTGATTCCTTACATGATACCAGGCCCAAGGGATCCACTGCGAGTCTTTCAACCTGTTGGAGTACCATCTATGTTTAAAAACAGAAAATAGAAATAAAGCTTATAAATAACCAAAGAAACGAGTAATGAGATGAATGACTAATGCTAGCTCTGTGTGCAATTTAAACTGCCATTCCTAGACAGCAATTCATTGTGACAAAAAATGTTGGCAAAGAACTTCCATGGTGCATTGCTCGCTGTCTGACTGCTTACTATGTTGAAAAGAAGCCATTTTAGTAAGTTATTCATTTCTAGGTTTACTACTCTAACCTAGAATTGGATAACTTTCTAAAATGGCCTCATTGCAACAAAGTAAGCGGTCACAAAAGAAGCAATGTACTGTGAAAGTAAGGTGAGGTATTTTTGTTGAGAATTTGACTATATTTTTTATTCTTAAGAGTGGTCATAAATATTCCTATACCTCATATTTTCACCATAACTCTTATTATGCAAGATGATCATCTCACAGCTGGAGCTTGAGGTGCCTGTGGTGGGATTTGTTTTGCTATTAAAGAGATTGTAAGTTATGCAGAAACCATTCAAAGGCATCTCTTACACTTGCTTTTTTCTTCTTGCGTGTGAACTTTGATGTAAACCGTAGGAGAATATGTCTTCTTAGTGTTAAAGTAACCAATATATGCTGATGGACATCAATAACTGCCTGGAACTATGTGTTTACTGAATATTTATTACAAAATATTTTGTAAACGTTTCAGAGTGATTAGAGTATAATGATACATAGTTTTGTTGTCACTGTATTCCCACCAATAGCGCAGCTCCACTTTTTGCTCATAAACATACACAATCCACAATTCCTCCAATTGCTCCAACAAAGGGTTAACACTTGAAACGTCAGCTTTTAAACTCTTAAGAGTGGCCAATTTACATTATCAACTCACTTGATAATACTAAATTACAGAGCATAATGATACATTTTACTGTCAAAATTAGTGACCATAATAAACAAAGCATTCTGTGTTGCCAATCATGTTCTCCTGGAGTAAACAGAATTTTGTCACAACTGTTTGACTGATATTTTTTATTGCTACAGTTTCAATTAATAGTATAAGAAAAGCTTGGGTTAAATAAGGGTAAAATTTCCTTGAAATGTTTAAAACCTTTTAAAACGAGTTTGGTCCATCAGTACCAAACTCGTAAGATACATAATTTATAATGCAATAAAAATTATTGTTTCCTTTAAAACACCATGACAAATAATGTTTGCATTGCCTTTATGTATGAAACATGGAAAGTTCCACATCTGATTCATTGACATTCCCAATCAAACATTTATGTTTACTATGAACCAAAAGGAAAAGAAAAAATCGTTGATTCTCTGACAGTAAGGAATTTTGTCACCTCACTTGTTTGCTAAAGTGTTGGGTAACATTTTTTCCTAGAAATCCAACAAAACAACTAAAAAATTGCTTCATATTATATTAATACAACTATTTATAAATTTTATTTGGTTTTAAATGCGTAAGGGACATGACATAGCCACAAGCTTAACAAAACTGAGGTGCCAATATGTTGTACTTTATTAACAGTCAGCCATTAAAAGAACATCTTAATTAAAGATTAAGGAAGATAAAAACAAAATAAACAAAAAAAATGTCAGTCTTAAAGCTTTAAGTCCCTTTGAAGTAACAACTCGTAAACACTGTTATTGTGATTTTAGAGCGTTTCTACAGTGAAAGAATTTCTAAAAATGCTAACTATTAATTATTGTACTTATCATTCATCTCTCTTGTGAAGAAACCCATTCTTCAAGTATTTGTGCCACATCCATTCTTCTAAAATCTTTGTGTTTCAAAAGTTCAATCAATTTTGCCACTGTTGCCTCATGGGGATTTGATGACCATGTTTTCAGAATTTCATCAGTGGGGTTTCTCTGCTGTTGTATAAAGTCAATCTCATCTCTAGAGAGCCCAACTTTCTCACCCAGCATTCGAAAGTCATCCCATCGCACATCTCTCAGGACATTCAGTAACAAACAGACTCTCGAATATACTGGTAGAGGTAAGTTTCTGACACTCATTGACAGCCGTTCATTTGCCAGGCTTCTTCCAGCATCTACCACATCCTGTTTCATCTTAGTGTCTTTTTCCTCTCTGGTAGAGCTTTCATCAGATAAGTTGGTCTTTTGAACTGTTTTAGTAAGTTTCATTACTGCCTCCTCTTGGTCCTGCTTTTCTATAGGTCCCTCTGTAACAGGAGAAATAATACATAAAATGACAAAAATTCTACAATAACATGTAAACAGAGTGCAATGTAGCATGTAGTTTGAAACATTAGGTAAATGTATGTTCTATGTCCAAGTAACCTCCAGGGCCTGAAGCCACATTTTAAAAATGAAAATGCTAGGTGTTGGCTCAAAACACCAGCTTGTTATATTTTGTTTCCCAATATATTTAATAATTCCAAAATCTAAATACTATTGATATAGCAATCTTGACTGAAGACACAGCAATCACATAAAAAAGAACAGCATTTCATAACTGGTAAACTACTAGGACTTTCCAGGCTCTGTGGCAGAAAAATGGCTATGAATGTAATGTAATTAACCCTTTCATTCCAGTTAACCCTGTAACCACTAAGGGTGATTAGCATCTAAACTCTCCTAACAATATCACTCCTTGATCATGTCACAGGATATGAGATAATAGAAACGATCACCAACATAAGAAACCCTTGATTGATTAAACAAATTCTCTTTGTCAGCATATATAGGAATCTTAGAGAACTGAGTAGGGAGAATATGCATACTGATGTTAGGGAGAATATGCATACTGATGTTAGGGAGAATACGCATACGGATGTTAGGGAGAATACGCATACTGATGTTAGGGAGAATACGCATACTGATGTTAGGGAGAATACGCATACTGATGTTAGGGAGAATATGCATACTGATGTTAGGGAGAATATGCATACTGATGTTAGGGAGAATATGCATACTGATGTTAGGGAGAATATGCATACTGATGTTAGGGAGAATATGCATACTGATGTTAGGGAGAAAATGCATACTGATGTTAGGGAGAATATGCATACTGATGTTAGGGAGAATATGCATACTGATGTTAGGGAGAATATGCATACTGATGTTAGGGAGAATATGCATACTGATGTTAGGGAAAATATGCATACTGATGTTAGGGAGAATATGCATACTGATGTTGGGGTGAAAAGGGTTAAAAAAAAGAGCAAGTCTTGTCTCCACCACAATAACAACAATCAAGAACTTATCATGGTACATGATACTGTTGAGATATTATGAAATCATAAAGAGCCATTGAAAAATTAAAAGTTGGTGGCCGAGGATAATTTGCTTTTACTTGACACAAAAGGGCTGAAAACTAGAGAGATTTTAATGCCATATTGTTGGAAAATTCTTAAAACTTAATAATTAACAAATGTCACTGTTACTGTTACATTTGAATCATGCATACCAATCTTTTGGCCAAGTTTACACAGAGTCTCCACTACTTTCTCACATTGATTCTTCCAGTTGAACTTCTGTGTGTAACCATCCCTGAGTTGCTTTGCTTCTTCGCGGCGAAGTTCTGGGTCTTTATCTCTGACTTGCTGTATCCTGTCAGCCCAAACCTCTGGTTTGACTGAGTCCACCACATGTGAATTTCCAAATAACACAGTCTTTAGAACCATGCCAAGTCCACAGTGTTCACTGATCAGCACAGGTAAGTCTGCAGAAATGGCAAGAAGACCACTCATTCCAAATCCTTCATTTCTTGAAGGTTTAATGGCAAGATCCACTTTACACATCAATTTTCGCCACTCTTCACGGCTTCCAGCAACACATACATCCAGTTGTTGTGAATTGATCCCCTCATTAAGCAAAGCCTTTGTGATGCCAGCAGTCTCATCATATGACTTCACAACAACAGTCAGATGATAAGATGGTGTATTCAATAATTTGATTGCTTTCGCTGCAACATCACATCCTTTGATGCTAAAATGACTCAAAGATCCACTTATTAGCACATGGAAGGTTGCCAAATCCTCATAAACCTGGCGCACACCAATAAGGTCTTCACAAACACCTGGTGTGAGGTTGATGACATTTTCCTGTTTTAAGGAATAACGCAGTGCTCGTCTACATGATTCTGCAGTCTTTGAACCAATTGCAATAACAGCATCAGCCTTTTCACACATTTTCCTTTGCAGTTCATTTTCATTTTCATACCAAGCTGTATGACATTCTTCATGAAACGAATGCACAACCTGAACCCATTTGCATTTCTTCAAATCTTTTATGGCTTGAGCTTGTCGACCCAAATTAGTTCCATGAGAATGTATGAACAGAACATCAATATTAAGATTATCAGGAGGAAAACACAGTAGCTCTGCTGATGAAAATCCATCATGGTCCTTAGATTCAACAAGTTGAATGTTTAGACTTCTGGCATGTTCTCGCTGTTGTTGTGTGTTCTTTGGCACAAAACCAGTCACACAGAGCCTGTCATTTCTTCCCAATTCAATTACTAACTGTCCATTGACAGTTTTGTTCCAGCCATCAACATCTGATGCCAAAGTAACATTCAGTTTTGAAACTGCAATTTAGACAAAAAATAATATGAAATAACAAGTAAACTAAACTAAGATTATCTTAAAACCTGTAGTTCATCTCATTTAAAAAAACTTTTTAGAAGTCACTGAAACCCCACTCCCAACAAACATATTTACCCCCCACAAAAAAGGTGATTGCATTTGTTTAATCAACCACAGAGATCTTACAGTACCATAATTACTCTAACCAATACCTTTCTTTCAAATGGAATTAAATTTTAATGTTTAAGATAACTTAAAAATTACTTGTACCTAGACAACATTTTTAAAATTTCAAACCAAGTTATTTTAACCTCTCCATCGTGATAAGTTCACAAATACATGATGGAAGAAAATAGATATGGCTATTTGGGTCTACATGTAATTGCATTGTGTTCACGTTGTGTTTCGTAATGTGCAAGTTCAAGAGTAAAATTTCCGCATAGCCCCATACTACATTATGCATTCAGTTTTTGGATAGAGGAAACAATGACAAAAACAACACATTGCCATTGGGAAAACAGAATTGTTTTACAATAGTATGGGGCTGTGCGGAAATTTTACCTTATGTTATTGCCGTAATTGACTATAAGCATTTCCGGTTTGCTCAGAACAAAGAGTCTTTCAAGATAATTTCTCGAATGTTTCAACAAATGACATGCCCTTTATATCTATCTCAAGTCCCGAGGATATATTAGAATAAAACTTAATTCCGCAATGCAAATGAATCCAGTCACCAAATTGCCAAGTCATAGAGTTTGTGAGTTGATTCAAAATTTATATGATAGCCAAATCGAGTTTAATTTTTTGGTATCGTAATATTGCCATACACTACCTATAGTAAACTTTCGCTTCTGAAAGTGAACTATTTAAACATTTTAACGGAGTTGGGCGTCTGCTGGTAACTTTCAAAGCTCATTTGAGTGTTAATTACAGAATAACATCCCTATTTAGATGAATGACAGAGGCCTCTAACTTACCTGAGTTTCCACTCGCCATATCGAGAGATCGCGTGTACAAAGTTATAATCCATTTATCATTTCCTCGAAGACTTCATCTAATAGATGTCTATATAGATGTCTGCCTACGTCTACAAAAAGTAATCCCTTGAAAAGAGTGGGCCCACATGTAGCAATTGGGGTCCGAACGAGTTAGTGACCCGCGAAATTAACGAAATTTGTGAAAATCATTCATATAACGCTACACATAGTGTCCTCAAAACATATTTTGAGAGAGATTCTGACTTCTGTTAGGGATAAAACCTCTTTGATGTTGTATTTCTAGCTGTTTTCAGCTGTCTCATTCGCGCCCCTGAAAAAGATATGTACTGTGAATAAGATGCGGACACGAGTTCCGTAGCAAAGCCCTTTATAGCATGTAGGTGTGCACTCCCTACCCACCCCTTCTTAGTGGTAATTCATAACCAAGGTTTGATGATGGTTAGTGGCTTATGGCACCAGTTTCTTTTGAGTTGTATTAAACCCAACGCAAATTAATCAAGGTGGACAACCGGAACAAAGGAAATAACCCAAGAAGACTGACTGAGGATCCAAGAGTTTGTTCATTAAAATTTCATTGTGTTTTTAAACTGGAAGTATATGTTAACCACAACCAAAACTTCACAGATACAATGTGTGAAACTTTATTTACAAAAAGCTTATTGTAAATGTGACATTTTCACAAAAGATCACCTTTTCTTAAATAAAACATAAGTAAAGTTACACTTAAACATAAAAAAGAAACCTTCAAACCAAAGACTTCTCCTCCTTGTGACACTACTTTAAGTAGTATCACAATCCTTTTCTCCCAGTTTCAATGGCAAATATCTATTTTGAGTTATTATTATTATAACCTATCTATTTTGAGTTATTATTATTATAATCTTTCAATCACAGATACTTATTTTCAAGTTAGTACCAGGTGAGAGGCCATTACATGGATACCCTCTGCTTATGAACCACTTTCTTACAGTACTTACTTAGTCTATACATAAAAGCTAGCAGTGTTCTCCAGAGGTCCTAGCAGCTGGTGTTTTTGTTGGATACTTGCCTCTCAGGCACCCGCTACTTCTGTTAGACAAAGCCACAGAAAACAATTCTCTTTTTTTTGTAAGACAATTTCGAGCGTAGCTTGAATTTGCACTCAATTTGGAAGCACTGGTTACTTTACCATTTTAGCTGACTACTTCAAAATCTGTGGAGAACACTGTGCTAAAAAGCCACCTAATTGCTACACAGTTGTGCTTGTCAATTTCTGCGAATTGTGATTCCCAAAAACTTTTATGTGTGCTTATAGTCAACCTAAGATTGATGACTAATGTAAAAAGAATAAAATTCAAAATTCAAAAACTGAAAGTTTTTTTAAAACGCAGTTTACCAGTCTTTTCCAACTCTTCCACTACTACAACAAACAGTTATGCTCCTGTAATCTTTCCTATCTTTGTACTTTTTATGCTAACATTTTTACATTTACCTATTAACTCTCACAATTTAATTGCAGAAAACACCCTTCACATTGCTTGTTCTGTCACTGAAAATATTTCAGCAACTCATCTATCAGTACAGTGTATCAACTGTAGTTAACACTGAAAAATTTCCCTCCTCAGACCAAATCACCGTAATATTATACACTGATCATTATTTCTAACTAATTATCAATCCCTTCCTTCTTCAACCAGTCTTCCAGAATGATTGCAACATCCCATCTTCCCATGTCATCATCTTTGAGTATCATTAAAAGATTTTCTACAGTTGATTTAGGATTTGAATGCCACTGTTCAATAAGTTCATAAGTAGGATTACTTTTCTGTTCTAAAACTTTTGTGAAATCCTTATTAAATCCCATTTTCTCTCCAAGCTGGCGAAAATCTCTAAAAGACAAGTCATCCTTTATGTTAAGTTTCATGCAGATACTACTCAAAACAGAAAAAGGAATATCTTTAACTTTGAAAAGCTTTCCTGTCTGATCCCTGTTTGATCCACTATCATTAACACCATCCAATGTTGCTGCTGCACTGTCCACCTGATCAAATCCACTCCTCTTTTTCTCCTCCTGAGTCCTGTCCTGGATAAGGCTAAGTTTCAGAGTTTCTCTCTGAACAGCATCAATCATCTCCTCAGTAGCTTTTCCCTCACTTTGGTTGACTTTCTTTTCTTCTGCAGGCCTTGGCTCCTGGCTTCCAAGGTTGACATTTTCATGCATTCTCTCCTCATATCTACTATTACCTCGGTTTCACATTGCTGGACTTCTGGATCCCCTCCCCTTGCTTGGTCAGACTCTTCACTGTGCTCAACACATTGTTTGAAATCTTCTGAAGAGAGAAAGAAAAGACATTCTTTTAATCAAGTTGCTAGAAACAATGAAAAATATATATCAAAAATCAAATACAAAGGCATGTTAAATTGGGAGTTGGAGTGTTAATCTCTATTTGTGAAACATTGAGAGAAAAAAGACACTAAGTTCGAAAATTGAACCCAAGCCACATTATAACTACATACAAAACACAAGCCAACTGGCCCACCCAGCTAGAGTTTATCTGAGTCTCCATGTAGCACGAAGCAAAGAGGGGTATTACCACTCCCCCTGAGAATGCTGCACCGTCCATCACAAGGTTATCCCCCCCACATTTCTTTAGGCTTCCCTGACAATTAAGTGGTACCCATTCATACTCCTGGGTGGAGGGAGGCTAAAAGTGTCTTGCCCAAGAACACAACACATTGACCTGCCTGGTCTTGAAAACGGACCTCTGGCCACTGCATCTCCCAATAAAGGGACTACTTTAAGGACAAAAGATGTAAACACAGTGCTAGAGAAAGGGAGTTTAGGTTAAAAGTATCAAGAGCAGAGCTTTGGTTTCCCTTTTTCAAAATATAAGAAAAAATAAGAACAACTTTTTGCAGAAATTTTGTATTTAATTTGTAATAGTTGAGACTCACTCAACAGTTGTAACTCAAGGCATTCACAGGTATTTTATTGAATGATATATGATGCCATTGAAATTACCTCTTGTACAATGCAGAAAAAAATTTGTGATACTATAACTCTTCAGAAAAAAAAAACCTGGAGTGGGAGTAAATTCAGGTAAATCAACAATTCACCAACATTAAATTTTGCTATACCATTAAAGAGCTAGCTCTCAAAGAGAACCTGCTCTTAGCGTGGACAAGCACTCTGTGAATCTGTGATAAATCAAACACACCTTGTTTGCTTGGAAACATTGTAAGCATTCTTTCAACAAGATCATCACATTGCTTCTCCCAGTTGTATTCTTCCTCATACTCTTTGCGAAGCTTCTTTGCTTCTGTCATCAGATCTTCTGGGCTATTTTCTAGGACTTCCTTTATCCTCTTTGCCCATTCTTCAGGTTTATTTGATTTAATGACATGTTTTCCTCCAGAGGGTAATTTCTTCAGAGCCATTCCAAAACCACAATTCTGGCTGACAAGTACTGGGAGGTCAGCAGAAATAGCACGGAGGTTGGTTGTGCCGAAGCCCTCTGTTCGTGCCGGCATTATGATAAGATTAACTTCACACAACATCTTCTTCCAATTTTCCAATTTAGAACTTTGAAAAGGTCGCACTGTAAGCTGGTGCAGCTCAATCCCTTCTGTAAGGAGTTGGTCAGTGAGGTCTTTGGTATCTTCATCTAGGTTAACGATATAGATGAGATGGCATGATTCCTCTTGCAAGAACGTCATGGCCTTGGCTGCAATATCCAGCCCCTTCACTCTGTAATACTTTGCAAACCATGTTGCACTGATCAAGATGCGGAACATCTCTCCAGGCTGGCGTGATTTTCGCACACCTACCAATTCCTTCATGATCCCTGGAGTTAACTCAATGACATCATTGCTCTTTTCACAATGACACAGTTCAGATCTGAAGGTGTCTGCTACTTTGGGACCAATTGCAATTACACAGTCTGCCATCTGACTCAGTGTAAGCTGTAGCTGGTGCTCTGACTCCTGCTTATATTTCTTATCCATATATTTAGCAAGTTCTTCGCCAATGGTATGGATGATGTGAAACCATTTACATTTCTTAAATTTTCTTATGTTCTGTGCATGTTTTCCCTCATGAAGCCCATATGAGTGCATGAACAAAACATCAATTTCAAGATCATCTGGTGGGAAAGACAGGAGTTCCATTGAAGAAAAACCATATAGTTCTTGGCCATCAACAAGTTCAACATTTAATTTCTTGGCCTGTTCTTTCTGTTCCTGGGTGCTGCTTGGCACAAGTCCAGTCACTTTCACTTTTGAATTTTTTGCAAGTTCAATAAGTAACTGGTTGTTCACCAATGTGTTCCATCCAACTGCACCAGTGGCCAAGGTTATGTTTAATCTACATTTTTCCTCCATATTTTACTGCTGAGAAGCCAACTGTAGAAAAAGGAGGAAAGAAAACTAAATGTTATTTGAAAATTCAAACTCAACTGTGTCGTCTAAAGTCAGGTATAACTAAGAGTATTTGCTATTACTAGGGAATGACATGACTGATAGGTGACTGAAATAAATTTCAAAAGCAAGCAAGGAAGAAGGTTTATGACTAGGTGTGTTAACTACTCGGTTCTGCAAAAGTTCTTTATTCATACACACACAAATGAAAGTAATAATCCTATAACAAACTAAACTCATGAGTTTATATATTTGGTAGCATTTCCGCATATATTACGGTTGGGACTATATACACTCATTGACAAGTATTTACATTGCAACAAAACATGACAAGACGTGAATGGTGGAATAAATAGGATTAATGATAGCTCAAATGAATTGCTGATTATGCAACATCTCCCCTCTACTAAAAAAAAAACTAAGCCTTAACTGAAACGCTGAAACTAATTAAATTGTCTCCATAAGCCTTTTAGGTCTTGTAATCACAAGTCTTGGTCGTTTGCTGTAACTGCTGTCGCCACACTTCATATTTTCGGCAGGTATCGGAGCAATCCCTTGTGCTGGACGAATAAAGTGACGATTCCTCACTAACTGGGCTCCCTTAGTAGTTTCGACACTGTACAATCTCAGTTGAGACGCAACTGGCTTTTTGGTAATGGTTGCTGGAATCCATTGGTTACACTGGGGGTGAACTTGTACGTACACTCTCTGATTCTGTGGCAGTGAAGGTAGATCCCTTGCAGTTTTTTTGTAGTGTTCGCACATTTTGATCTTGTCTTTCACCATTTGCTCTCGGACAACCTGGTAATGAGGATTCTGGATAGGGGATTTGGTTGGAAGTAATGCTCTGTACTTTCATCCACTCAATAGCTCTGCAGGTGATGGTATGCTGGTAGTAAGGGGTGTGGCTCTGTAGATCAACATAGCTAAGCTTGGATCATGTTCTGTGGCTGCACATTTCCTCAAACACTGCTTGACCATCTGCACCATACGTTTGATGAAACCATTACTCTGTGGGTAACAAGGACTAGACATGATGTGGTCAAAGCGGCATTGGTTTGCAAAGGCTGCAAATTCCTTCGACGAGAATGGGGGGCCATTGTCTGTCACAACGGTTTGGGGCACTCTATATTCGCTAAACACTTGCTTCAGAATCTCAGTGGTAGCACTCGTGTTGGTGTACTTTCTGAATCACAGGAAACCTACTGTAGTAGTCTGCTATCAGGAGGTGGGTAGTAGACTGAAACTCAAAGAAATCAATTCCTAACTTCTCCCAAGGTCCTTGAGGAACTTCATTGGGCAACAGTGTCTCACGTTGTTGGCTCCTTGAGAACATCTGGCACACTTCACAACCCTGTGCTGCCTGTAGTAAATCTGAGATTATTGCTGGCCAGAATACTGCTTCTCGGGCTCTTAGTTGCATCTTCTCAAAACCAAAATGACCCTTGTGGAAAGTTTGGAGGACTGCTACGCAATTTCTCAGGAACTATGAGTCGATGGCCTTTGAAGAGTAGACAATTCTTGGCGCTGATCTCTTCTCTGTAGCTCCAGTAGTCTACAAGAAGTGGGTGGCAATCTTTCTTTAATTCAGGCCATCCATTTGCAACCACTTACATCAGTGAACCGGAAATAGGGTCTTCTACAGTTGCGTGTCTGAAATCTCCAACTCTCATAGAATCAGCAGGGATTTCCTCTGTGAGCATGTGAACTGAGATAAAATCTTCCTCGTCTTCTCCTTCTTTAGGTGCTGGCTGGGGAGACACTCTGGACAGTGCATCAGCTATGACATTATCCTTCCCTTTCAGGTATTCAATGTTTACGTCATACTGGGATAGTCTCAGCAATAGCCTCTGAAGGCAGTGAGTTGCACACTATGGATTTCTTCCATACGCTGACCAATGGCTTGTGATCTGTTTGAACTGTCGCTGTGTATCCATACACATAATGATGAAATCTTTCAAGAGCAAAAAACAACACTAAGCAGCTCTCGTTCAATGTTAGAGTAAGATTGTTCCGTCTCAGTGAGGGCTCTAGGTGCGTAGATCACAGGCTTATCATCTTGGATAAGAACTGCTCCTAAGCCTTTCTTGGATGTGTCTGACTGAATAGTGCTAGCTTTACCCCAACCAAAATATGCCAACACTGGTGCACTTGTAATCTCTTTCTTGATAGCCCCATTTTCTGTTTGTTGTGAGCTTTCCCAGGTAAAGAGAGTATCCTTCTTACAGAGCGTTCTAAGCGGTGCTGTTAAACCTGCCAGTGCTGGACTGAACCGGTTTAGGTACTTTACCAGTCCTAGGAAGCTTTGCAAATCTTGAAGGTTCTCTGGTGGTTTCATCTCTGTGATGGCTTGCACCTTTTTGGGGTCCATCCTACACCTGGCTGGGGTAAGGTTTCCTCTGAAGAATGCAGTAGAGACATGCCAATACCCTGATTTCACGTCAAGCAAGCTAAAATACTTCAAATCTGCTAATTCTGGTAAGATATCATCGACTGTCCTGCTGTACCACTGATTCCTCTTCATCACTCGGTTGAGATCTTTGGATCAAGACATAGTTGTAAGGAACCATCTGGTTTCTTAACTGGAACAATCGAGTTAATCCACTCGGTGTGCTCCCTTACTTCTTTAATGACTCCAAGCTGTGTCAATCTCTCCAATTCTGCTTTGTAGAGTGGTTTTAGGCTGACTGCAACTTGGCACAGTGGGTGTTGAACGGGTTTGTAGCCTTTCTTTAACTGGATACTACAAGGTCCACCTGGCAAAGTTCCTATGCCTTGAAACACATCGGCACATTCCTGCAGTAAGTAATCCTTAGTTGTGGGCAATAAGTGTGTCCTTCCATTAATAGTTATCTTCTCTTTAGCGCTCCTTTGGATCACTGGTACCACTGGATCAGTGCATTTCTGAACTCTTGGAATTACTAGACCATCATTGGTTTTCGGGCTCTTCCACGAGTTTTTTGATAGACCTATCTGTTTTAGCTTGGACAGCAGGTTTCTGGATGTCAGGGAAACTGATGTATTCCATAATTAATGCTTGCTTTCTGCCTAGGATCATATGACCTTTGCTGTCTGCAACTTCGCACAAAACTCTGAATATCTTGTTACCATGGTAAAGGTACACAATGCAGGTTTTCCACTGGACTGTCACTGTAGCCTTTGAGGTTCACAGTTGGTTTGCCCAACTTCAAGTTGTTTCCAAAGAGTGCTTTAGCCTTGTACAACAGCAGAATGTTACAACTTGCACCGGTATCAACCTTGCAGTCAATCTGGAAGATTTGTGATGAAGATTCCTGGCTGAGCCATAGTGGGGGATGTGAGGTTCTGGTTTTGGATGATTGAGACTTTCCACTGTTACTGTCTTGAGGTGATGAATAGGTGCGTTGAAGTAAACTGGCTTGTATTCATTCAGTACGCAGTCCACGCACTCAGAAGCTGTTGTAGACTAGACTTGTAACTCATGAACACATGCATCTTTACTCTTTGATTTGCACATGGAACCGTAATGCCCTTCCTTCCCACATTTGAAGCACTTTGCCTTCTTTGCAGGACACTCACTTTTGGGATGTGATGGTTTTGCTCCACAGTAGAAACAAGTTTCCCTCTTTGACCTTCCTTGTTTCTGATCATTGGAAGCTGGTCTTTGTGGCTGCCGTCTGTTCTGGCTGGCTCTTGATTGCCTGTTTCCTTGGAGTTTATGAACTTCCATTTGTAGGGGTTCGCCTTTGAATTCCGGTCACATGTAACCGACTTGGTGTGCTGTGGCGTCCTGATTCTGAGCAATTTCTATTGCCTCTTCTAGCATCAATTCTGAATCTTTTTCAATGCATTTGTAATAGGCCTCTTTGGAGCATAGTCCAATAACTATTGCATCTCGAAGTAGTCAATCACGAGCTTCTGGAGGATATTCACACTGGTTGCACAGAATAGTGGCTTTGTCAATGTACTGTGCAAGGCTAAGATCACCTTGCTCCAGGCCGCGGAAGTTTGATGCGGCTGCAAGTGCATTGGATTTCGGCTTTGTCCACTCCATGAACTTTTTTAACAGCACACTTGGATCTCTCTTCTCTTCCATGGTGAGATTCAGTGACTTAATGTGTGTTCTTCCAGCTTTTCCTGCTCAAATGAGAACATAATTTGCTTTCACAGCTTTGCTCTTCAAAGCTAGTGGACCATTCAAAAGAAGTTCACATTCCTCAACCCAATCCAAGCACTTTTGGTAACATTTGGGGCCAGGCGTGAAGTTTCCTTTCGGTGCCGGTAAATGCTCCAATGCAGCCATTGTAGATTGAGAGGGTTGATGTTTTTGAAGAGCTGGTGGTGATCGCTGTTGACGTTAGTCTTAGCTGGGTTTGTTAAAATCCTGACACCATGTTAACTACTCGGTTCTGCAAAAGTTCTTTATTCACACACACACACACAAATGAAAGTAATAATTCTATATCAAACTAAACTCACGAGTTTATATATTTGGTAGCATTTCTGCATATATTACAGTTGGGACAATATACACTCATTGACAAGTATTTATATTGTGACAAAACGTGACAAGACAGAAATGGATTGATGATAGCTCAAATGAATTGCTGATTATGCAACAAGGTGGTCTTCTTGTTTAACTTGTTACAAGTGACAACACTGTTGCTATATTTTCATAGAGTAGGTATTAGTTTTGCGTATAATAAGTCTAATAAACAAGTAAATCAGATACTTATTGACAATGATATATTCTATAATTTAAATACTATTGTGCATGGTTGTTTTAAAGGACTATGCATTTGTTAAATTTTTTTTAGAACTTATTTTAAATATCAGCTTACTAACTGCAATGTTAAAATGTTCTTACTTAATAAATTTATCAGTCTGTCATAATAACAATGTGAACTGCCAAGAATACAAATAATTTTTAACGGCTGCTGTATTTCACAAGAATTCCTTAATTTTGTCTCATGTTTTACTTCAACATCAATAAAACAGTCACAGGTCATCTCAGGCAAGGGGGGAGCACATCCTCTACACCCCTTCCCTTGATCCACCCCTGTTGCTACTTTGCCCTTCCTGCCCTCCTTCACTAATGGGATGCTTGTCCACTGCAAGGAAACCTCCCAAGATCAGTTTTGTCAGGTTCCCATTACAGTTTTATGGCACCCACAGACACGCTTAGCAGATAGAGATACTGTAAGAGGAAAGTGTCTTTCCCAAAAACAGATTTTGAAGCTTGACCCCTTCGCCCTGATTAAAGAATATTATAAAGAATATTATCATGATCAAGCAACTGTATCCCTGATTGGCTTTGATCGATTGAAAGTGCTACATTTAATACATGACAAGAGGCAGAATGAAAACAACAATCTATATTTAATTTGAAATCAACTCGGCAGCTGCGATTACTAGATGACGCGTCCAGATGCAGATCGAATGTCATCACTAATTACTCAAGGCATGGCATCAGTAAACTCATGGTTTTGCCAACGTTTCCTCGCAAAGCTATATTTAAACCATGAGAAACTAAGAATTTAAAAAAATTCGACAGAGAGAAAGAGAAAATATGCTTAAATCTCATGCGTTACAGATTCGTTTGGAGAATTCATACAAGACAATCATAACACATTTTCTAGCGTGAAAGCGATCGAGTAATCACTATGCGCATTGTCTAAATATTGATCGAAAACAAAACTGCATAGGAGTTAAGAACCTAACTGCTGGAATCACCTCATACGCGAGCAAAAGATGAATAGGACTAAAATCGATTCTTTCATTTTCGTTTCTTAATGGGGAATCCATTGCGTTTTCCTCTTTCGGTTTTGATCTTTTGCAGATTAGCTGCATTAGAAACCTACCGGTAATAAAATCAGGGAGAATTTAAATTTGTAGAACTTACTTGCAATGTTACATTCATTTATGGTCATTGATTCGCTGTAGCTGGGATGGTTTCCTTCGCTTCTCATTCTTGTCTCGACATCTGGAGTCGCTTCCGCATCGCACCAAACTTGCCAAACATCCCCCGGGTTTCACTTTCGCGGAAATTAAGGAAGTGAAACAAGCCGTCTCCAGTACTCCCTCGGTCAGACCATTTGACAGTACCAGTAACGGAGTATAGTCGAAAACCCTCGCGAAAACTCTCGATTCTCATCTTTTTGATCTTGAGTACCACATGATTCAAAATGTCAGGTGTTACAGGTGAGACTAATCTTTTCGTTCTTGAGGAGCACATTTTAATCATCTGAGTTCGTGTACTACAGTGTTCAGCGAGATTCGAAGTGCAATCAGACACAGCTCTCTCTATGTTCTCGTGCGTGCTAAAATCAGCCTTAGTCAAATTCTTCCAAAATGGGTCAACTTTTAACCATATGCGCCCTTAATAATTGAGATAAGTAACTGCTACCATCCGCTTTTATCCTCAATAAATTAAAATTTTCACTGCTATGTGTGAGAAAATCACAAGCTCATACACTAGGCACGCTAAGCTGAAAGTGCGCACTAATATGATTCGTCAGCAGTTTTGCTTTGAAGACGGAAGTGGAGGAAATGTTGAAGGTTCGCCGTACGAAATGCACATTGATGACAAATGTTATACTTGAACTCGCTGTAAATAGATGCTACAGGCGAGTAGGAAACATTTGATAAATTTTCATTTCAAATTTTGAGATCATCATGACGTGGATCTAGACGTCTTTCTACTTGACTGTTGGGCGAAAAAAGGGGATTCTCTTTATATGTAGACGATTTTCGTGAACTTTTACCAGATAACTGAGATTTTTTATTTTATGTGTCAATGGCGGCAGGAAAATATTATTTTATGGTAAAACTAAACGGACAGACCTCTCCCAAAGTGTAAATGTGTACTGCCTATTTAGCTAGAGGTGTGTGTTGGGGAAGGACGGGATGAAGACTTCAAGGGGGGAAGTAGTTCATATCAGGAATCCTATTCAAGAAAGTAATATCACATCTATAACATGAATTGTGGGATTATTTTAAATGAATGATTATAATCAATTCACTGCACTTAAAATTAAGGTTACAGATTAACACCTACCTTTCCTCTAGAAAAAGAGGTATTAAGTCTTACAAGAGCTACTGAAGTATCATTAGACAAAGTATGGATTATGAATGCCACCTTATAATTATCTTTCTAAACCCTACCTTTTTCAATTTTGGACAAAATAAGTCACCCAAAATGTCTGCTCAAGAGGAAAGAATGCAGAATTAATCTCTTTATTACAGTTATAGTCATAATATCGTCACCAATATTTTAACCTAACCTAACATATTATTATAGTTATTAAATAATTTAAAGTAACTGTTTAAAATTTTACTTTCAGGAGATGCACAGAAACTGAATGTCACCTTGGTTGCTAGTAATGTGGGCTGGGACAAAGCTGTGAATGGCCAGTTACTTCTTGAGCTTGCCAGCAACCCAAAAGTGAAGGTTACTGGATTTGTACCTCAAAACACTCAGCAGCAGAGAGATGCAGCTCAGAAGTTAGGCATTGAGCTTGTTGATGCAAAAGATATCTCAGGGCATTCATCAGCAGACTTGCTGGCTTATCCACCTGATGGTCTCAATATTGATGTCTTGATGATGCAGTCTTATGGACATGAAGTGGGTCGACAAGCACAGATTATTAAGGAGACCAAGAATTGCAAGTGGCTTCATGTTCTGCACACTGTGAGTGAGGAACTTGTGCCATTTGCACCTGAGCATACATCTGAGCATGAGTTGCAACTTGCATTGTGCAAACAAGCTGATATTGTGGTTGCAATTGGACCCAAAGTGGCAGAAGCTTACAGATCAGCTTTCCAACTTGGTGGAATACAGAAAGAGGTCATTGACCTGACACCAGGAATTTTCCTCAACCTTGTTGGTGTACGACCCCCTCAAGATGACAGTGAAGTGTTCCGTGTGTTGATCAGTGGTTCATCCAAATATTTCAAGATCAAAGGCTGCGACATTGCTGCTAAAGCAATCAAACTAACCGGTACACCATCCATCCACCTTATGTTTGTTGTGAAGCCTAGTGAGAATGTAACAGAGATGACCCAAGCTTTGCTCCAGGAGGGCATTAATCCTGACCAACTCACTGTCAAAGTTGCAAAAAGCAGTGAGGATTGGAACAATCTTCTCCGTGAAGCAGACCTTGTCATAAAACCATCCAGAACAGAAGGTTTTGGAATAAGTGGTGTCCGAGCCATTTCTGCTGACCTTCCTGTCCTAGTCAGCGGAAATATTGGCCTTGGTGCAGCTCTGAAGAAGTTACCCTCAGGAGCAAACCATGTTGTGGAGTCCAATGATCCCCAGGTCTGGGCTGACAAGATCAAAGAAGTTAAAGCAAAGGATGCAAAAGGGCGCAATGCAGAGGCAGAGTCTTTAAGAAAAGAGTACACTGGGCAATTCAACTGGAAAGATCAGTGTGAAAACCTTGTTGAAAAAATGTTCACCATGATTTAGTCACATCTTCCTCAGACTCAAAGTTTACCACTACATATTAGAAAAAGGGAGTAGAGTTTGCTGGAAGTTTGGTAGTTTGAGACTCAGTATTTTGCCCAATTTGATTATAGATACCATACAATTTAAATCTGTGTTGACTGATAATGTAGCTCATAGGCCTAACATTCTGAAATTATGTTGTGAACTAAAGCCATGATAGGGCTTTTTCAAAATATTATTACCATTTTTACTGTTCATTATTGAAGACAAAACTTAATAGCTGCATGTTGGTCTAGCTCAAAACAACTTGCATAGCATAATGCATTTGATCACTACACATCAGTACATTGCCAAGCTTAAAGCAAAGAAAAAAGGTTTCTCTGGAAGTTTTTGTTAATGTTCATAGTTACTTTTCTGACCAAGCAAGCTTGCTCAGCAAGTTATCAAGTATTGGCTTAGCTTAGGATATGAACTCAGTCCAATTGACAAGAGAGTTGATCAGTTCAAGGTGTCATCAATAAATAAATGTAACTTCAAACAACACTTTAGCCTGTTTTTGGTTGGGGTTAATAACAGTGGCTGGCATCTACATCCCACTTTGCAAGACCTGGCTCTCTTTTTCTTAAAGTTCACTATAATTTCAAAGAACCTGTACTGAGATTTTCATTTTACTTTTCTAATGAGCTTTTGATTTACAGGGAAGTAACAATGGCCAAAATTTTTAAATTCAGCCTTTATTGGTTTTCCTAAATGTGTTTTGATACAAAATTTACAAAGAAAACAAGACACATCCATTTGCAGCTAGTTTGAGAAGGGTCATCATGCCAAAACAGTGTCAATAGGCATATAGTGCTTTTGCATCTTTTGTCATTGTAAAACTTTGAGCTCTTATCAAGTAATAAGAATGCAAAGCAACCATTATTTCATAGGGACCCTTTTTCTTAACCTTTGTTATAAGAGTAACAGGAATCTTATTTCTTATCACAGTTTCACAACTGAATCAAATGTAAAGGTCATGAAATTTATGGAAATGATAACCAAGTTAAGAAGCTCCTGACTGGCATATGTTCTCCCTATCATCAACACAGGAAAAGTAGAGAGATCAGTGAACACTAATGTTAGCTAGGTTGTAAAAAATTGATGGTGATACTGGCAAATTTAGAAAATGGCAAACTGATGTGGATGTTACTTCATCCAGGAGAGTCCAGATTTTAATTTCCTTTTGAGACACTAAAATAGCCTAATATGCAAATATAGGATCGATCCTCGCAACTAAGAACACCACTGAACTAATAGTTGAAATAAGGCTTGAAAAAAATTCAGGCCTGTACAGGATTTGAACCCATGACCTAATATGCAATTTATTGTTGTTGATGGTCATATGATATAATGGATGTTGTTTTTACAAAGCTTGATTGATATAATAATTTCAACATGCAGCAGGAAACTGTGGTCAACTCATCAAGTTAAGGCAGCATTCAAGGAAGCAAAAAAATGAAAAAAAAAAAAATACCTGTAGACTCAATCACTCATTCTTTTTAACCAATTCTCCCATTAAGTAATTTTAATGTTTACACTTATCAGGTTTGACACTTGCTCTACATCATTGTTATTAACCATACCACCTAAAAAAAGTTAAGTAAAAAATCCTTAACAATTGGTGTAAAACCAAATGAAAGAAGTATAAATATATTAAGTGTAACATTAACACACTCTAGACTATGTATTCAAGTACATTCTGTTTTAAAGAATTAGTGAACATACAAGCCATTTAACTATAAAAATGATAGATATCTATGACAAGACTACTTTCATATACTAATTGAAACTTAAATGTTGTCTAGAAGTTATTTGTTTGCATTGTTTCATTTTTTTGTCACATCTGTTGTATGCAAAGTGACAAAGGGAAAATTCTGCTTACAAGACTGACTCATACAGCTACCAGAACTTAGTTACTAAGCTTGTTTCTGCAGCAAGGACCTGTGAGAGTTAATACACTACCCAAGAACACAGCATAGTGACCTAAAACAGTGTAAATCCTAGCATCCTTCCATTTCTCTCCCACATACGAGACAAAGGTACTCAGTTGTTGACAAAAGAGGTCACCTTGACCAACTACTTGTCTATAAAAGAATCAGCCAAAGATGATTATGTTGATTAGTTTCAACACTGGCTTCAACCCCTCTCTAAATACTATTTTTTTTTACATACCAAAAGGAAAAATTAGGTTAATGTTACCAGCTAATGCCAATTAGGCTAAATTCTCTGTTTTAATACTACATGAAATTAAATTTTGAAAAGGCATGCACTTTTAAAAGAGCTAGATACAAGCTACCAATCTTACACATCAAGATCAAGACCTGAGAAAAGATCATCACAAATAAAGTTGACTTAAAGTTCATAAACTATCATTTGACCAAAGTTAAAACAGAGGTTCTATGGAAACAAAAAAAACTAGAACATTCTTCTCCAAGTCTACAAATTTCTTGCCATACTGTACAAAACTTTTACTGATAAAAAATAGATCTGCTTGTTCTTCCACACCAAGAACATTCAAATCTGACTTGGGGAGGAGCCGTACTCTAAATGTTTAATGACAAGTATCATTTACCCAGTCTTCAAGCACCTTTACCACATCCATTCTCTCCAGGTCCTCACCTGTCAACAGGTCAATTAAGTTTCCAACAGTAGCCTCTCTCTTTGATGACCAGGTCTGCAGAACCATGTCAGTAGGATTTTCACCCTGTTCAATCATCCGTATCTCATCCCTGCTGAATCCAACTTTTTCAGCAAGCATCCTGAAGTCATCAAATTTCAGATCTCGCTTGGTGTTGAGCATTAGGCAAACTTTTCTGTATTCTTTAAGGGGTAGATTACTGACTCCCATGTTTCTACGTGATATGTCTCCACGTTTGTATGTCCTAGGGAACTGGCTTGTCTCCTGAATACTCATCTTCTCAGTCTCATACTGATAATACAGACCTCCATCCACATCATCGCGATTCACTTGCAGTGACTGCAGATCTCTTGTGGTATCAGCAACATCAAACTGCCACTCAACAGCTTTCTTTCTGTACTCTAAGAAATATAAAAAAGGTGATAAATTTGTCTATTTATATTTATGCTATATTTACAAAAAGATTTGAATTAAAGAACTTCTGTTCAGAATCAGTCAGCAATTTACAATGAAGGAGTCTAATGAGTAAACAAGAGTCAGCTTTCTAAGGTTGCAATTATTCACTGAAAAGTCATTAGTTTCCTTTCTCCCTGCAACTTTACTCTGCTTTGAAAATCAAAGTTGACTATTATCTATTGTCAAAAAAAAAAAATCAAGAGCTAAATCATCCAACATGTGCCTGAACAGAAGGCCAAACTTCAGCTTACATGCATTTCAAAAATATTTTTCATGGTAATTCAAATTTTTCTTGAATTCCCTACAAGAAAACCAAATGCAAATGCACCTCAGTGTGCCCTAAGGACATCTAAGGACATTAAATGCTGTTACCATTGCCAGCAACTCTTCGTTCACAATTGTGACACTGCCTTCAGACTAACTAATGATACTTGTCTTAGGATGTATTAACCCTAAGCCCCTGAGAGTGATAAGCATCTTATTTCTCCCAACAGTATCACCCCTGAATCAAATATCACAGTGATAAGAATAAAGGAAATAATTACAAGGTCAAGAAGCTCTTGATTATTAAGCAAATTCTCCTTGTTTTAATGTAAGTACTGTCAGTAAGAAACATATAAACAATATAATGGAGAACTTAAACACTGATGTTAGGCTGTAGAGGGTGAACAACAGGACAAACACAAATTAAACTTAAACTGTTCCTAATTAAATCAAAATTACAGTAAACAAACTCACCAGATTTGTGTGGATTCATTGAAAACATTTTCTTGACAATTTCATTGCATTGCATCTTCCAGTTGAATTGCTGCATGTAATCATTCCTTAGTTGTTCTGATTCCGCTTTTCGAACTTGCACTGCCTTTGCCCTGACGTTCTTTATTGCATCAGCCCAGGCATGAGGGTCTTCAGAATCAATTACATGCTGTGCGCCAGAGGGTAATGACTTCAACACCATGCCAAGACCACAGTTTCCACTCACAAGAACAGGGACGTCTGCTGAAATGGCGCGCAGACCACTTATGCCAAAACCCTCTGTTCTTGATGGTTTGATGACCAGATCCACTTCACAAAGCAACCTTGGCCAGAAGTCTTTGCTGCCAGAACTGCTCTTAAAGGTGAGTTGAAGCTGATTGATTCCTAAATCAAGAAAGGCTTTCTTCAGCTGATCTTCATTATCCTTTGGCTGTCTGACAAATATAAGATGGCAGGATGAATCTTGTAAGAGATTGATAGCTTTAGTGGCAATATCACATCCTTTGACCAAGAAATACTTGGATGAGGCACTGAGCAGCACACGGAAATTTTCACCTGAGCCATTAGTTTCCTGGCGCACACCAAGGAATTCTTCAATAATTCCAGGAGTCAGACCAATCACACTCTGGTCTTTACCACTGTACCTCAGAGCAGCTCTGTAAGCTTCTGTAACTTTTGGGCCAATTGCAATGATAAGGTCAGATTTCTCGCACAATCTTGTCTGGAGGTCGTGTTCACTTAATTGATCATTTGCAGCTGGGTCTGCAGATTTCTTAACAGAAAATTTCTCTAGATCTTCACTGACAGTATGGACAACATTAACCCACTGGCACTTTTTCTTGTCTTTTATGATCTGTGCTTGTCGCCCCAGGTCACGCCCATAGGAGTGTATGATGAGAATATCAATGTCAAGATCGTCAGGTGGATAAGCTAGAAGCTCAACTGCTGGAAAACCTGTGATTTCTTTGGCATCAACCAGCTCAATGTTTAAGTCCCTGGCATGGTCTTTCTGCTTTGGGGTGTGCTTAGGTACAAACCCAGTGACTCTTACTTGAGGATTCTGAGCAAGTTCAAGAAGAAATTGTTCATTGACAGACTTGTCCCAACCCTCTGCATCTGTTGCAAGGGTAACGTTCAATTTAGTTGGATCTTGTACCAGCGATCCTGGAAATGCAATTGAAAAGGCGAGTGAGTAAATTACACATGGCTCTGTCATACTTGTGACGGCAGTTATAGTTTTAGTAAAGCGTATAAGATGTAAATAGAACGATTTTATTCAACTTTATGGACCGCACGTTGATAATTGCCACACTCCTTAATCAGATTTCACTATTTTCGGAGATCCTTGGGTATCAATCCTACACAACAAAACGACTTTTCTCAAAGAAGAATTCAAAACAAACCTGAAATCAGTGTTAGTGTAAGTGAGTAGACTCTCAAATAAGTCTAATTCGGTTCGCTTTACTTCCGCAATAGCGGTGAAACGAAGATTCAATCGAATAATCGATCGGAGCTTATCAAAGAACATGATTAACACTGCTAATTAGGCAGTACTGCAAATTTCCATTTTGTTACTTTCGCCACAGGAAAGCTATCCAAAACAGATGGGTGTCAAAATTCTTAAGATTTCACACACTCTCAGATACGCCGAGGTAGGCATTTTCCATGTGAATTCACTCGAGAAGCCGCGCTGATGCAAGAATCTGCACAAATTTCTCCCAATAATCACCAAAAACTCACCAGTTAAGCTGGTTTTTGATATATTTTCCTTAAATTGACTTTTTGTGTCTTCATTCCTTACACTTTTGCTTTCAGATCCGTCTTCTGGGAAACGGGTCGCCATTTTCAATTCTGAGGTAAAAGCTCTCTTTGAGGTGGGTGGGGTGGGAGGGGAAGCGGACTACTCGCTATGGCATTCGCAAAATTTGCGCTAGGCTCATGATTGGAGATACATTATTTGAGCACATTTTAAGGAACAGACAAACAATCAAAAATTATTTTCATGTTATGACAAAGCATCATCCTTTTTCTCGTCAAAAAGTGATTGTGACACTCTTTCCCCTTGCCGTTGTCCTAGCGGATTTGGACCCCCTAGATTTGGACCCCCAGTCCAAATCCACTAGCAGATATTGACCCCCCCCGGTCCGCTAGCGGATTTGGACCCCCCAACAGAACTGAACGTTCTCGTAGAAATCGACAATGCTTTACGTTTCAGTGCGTAATAAAGTATGTTTTTAATTCAAAATATGCGTATCGCCAATGCATATGAACTGGCAGCTGGAAATGACCCGTCGGATGTTTCTTTTGACCAAGGGAAAATGTGCAAGCATTTAGTTCAATGTTCGGATAAAGGTCGTTTTCTGTGATAGTCGAACACCGCTAGATTCAGTAAGAGACAAACTTATGATACTAATTTATTTTGTTATTGTTCAATGCCCAAGCGTTGGGACGATATGGTACAGTGCGAGTTTGTTATTTCAGATCCCTCAACAGTTAATAATCGTTAAAAATTAGAAATAAGATTGAGTTCGATGTAATGGTCTCCACTTTTGTTAAGACGTAGACATTAATGTTGATTTGCATCTGAAAATAAGCAGAGAGTTCCAATAGTTCAGAATAGAAACATTTTTTCTTATCATAGGCTTTACGAACGACTTGTAGTAGGAGTAGTTACTTCGTTCTTGTTCAGAAACTGGTTAATGTTATTTAATTAGAAAAATTTTCTGTCTGACAGACTGAGTTATTTTTATGACTGAACGCAATAGTCTCCACTATTGTTATGACGTTTCGTATCAATGTTGATTCACATCAGAAGAAGCAAAGATTTATTGCAACATTTGCAATAGTTCGAATGCAGTAGTTTGTTCGCATCTAATTCTTGAGTATACTGTACGACTCGCTGTAATAAATACGGCAGGATATGAACGAAATGGTTGTTTTTCTTTACCTATATTGAGGAATGTTGTGTTGTGATTGAAAAGAACATCGACAAAAAGCTTGCAATAGAATTAATTACCAATTATAATTCAAACGATGATTATAAGGAAAGTTTGGTAGGGGGGTCCAAATCCGCTGTGACACCGAGCGGGCATAAAGGAGGGGCGTTTTTTAATTATTTTTTTTTTCATAAAAAAAAAAAAAAATTGAAATGATCTTAATCAAAATAATATTACCTATTAATTTGTATAGCGCAGATACCAACGGAGGTCTTACGCGATAACAGTGAAAATTTTGGCCATTTTATAGATGACAAATAGTAGATAAGAAACATTGAATTTTGCGAATTTTGTTTTCGCTGTTTTACGGTTAACGGTTCACCCCATTGCAAAATTGCATAGGTTTTTTTTTCTGGAAACTAGAATAAATGTACACAAATGACCAAACATGAATTAGTATTTTGTCTATCCATTGTGATGGATAAGAAAACTTGAGGTATTCCTTATTTACTGTTGTTATATTTTTTCCATATTGTTGAAGGTTACATTAAGTTCTCATTGGAACTGAGCCAAGACATTCTTATAAGGAAAGAAATTAAGCGGCCGAGGTAGACGTTCATGGCCATTCGAACAAGATCTTTTAGAAGCATGGATGTGCTATTTATTTTCATCGTGGACTGTTGGAAATTGTGAGAAGCAGGAAAAAGATAAGGACTTGATGTACCTCACACGCATGTGCTCCTGAAGAAGGCCAAACAGATTCCAAAGTAAGTTTTTTTTGTCTTTTTTGTCTTTTTATTTTTTTAAGGAGAAGTTAGCTTTAGAGTCCTTACCTTAGAGTAATTGAATTTTGAGGGTCTGGGGAGTAACCTATTTGTTCCAAACTTGTCTTCAAATTAGCCAACTAATCCTTTGCTAAGTTAGGAAATATGAATACTCCTGAGCCAGTGCAGTGTAAACATTATTTTTAACGAAATTTTGTGATTTAAATTGATGAGGACCGTAATTTTATTTTATAGGAGGCAATCATATAAAATATATACGTACTATACATTTCTCGGTAGAACAAAAAAAGGATATTTCAATGAGCGTCAAAACCCTTTTTTAGTCAGAACAAGGTTGTGTAAAAATGAAAAACACAACTAAACTTTATGGTTGCATTGATATTAGTTACACTTTATTGATCAAATGAGGTACAGAAAATAGCCATGTAGTTTTGTTGTAAACATATTTCCCTCTCGAATTACTGATCATTTTTTTGTATGATTTACCTCAAGAAGCATCCGTATTCTTTGAAATGTTTGGTTTTTTAAAATTATGTACAACTGGGAGATTGATTTTGAGACATTTCAATTTTATGTGGAAGTCTATCAGCGAAAGTCATTTAATTCGAGTACACTTCTTTTTCAGCTCGAAGATCGTGTTTCAGTAAAATACAATTTACTCTCAGTGGACAAGTTGGATCACAGAAATCAAATGGTACCATATATAGGATAGTGAGTAAAGAAACATTACAATCGGAGTCCCTCGTGAGGATTCGAACCTCACGCAGTCAGCTCAAATGAGGCGATCCCAGCTGGATGAAGAGTTTCGCGCACTCCACCCAGTGCTTGTTTATTTTCGCGTCCCGAGGAGAGGTGCAGTGCAGATTGCCCATACTTCGGTCTCACCCTCTGGTACCTCGGCGTAAGCTCGTATCAATTTTTTTTTCGTTTTTGTTTTTATTTATTTTATTTCTTTTTGTTGATACGAGCAATGAGCCGTTAAATAGGTCTGAAACCCGGAGGCCAGACCCATTTCGGTTGTCGGCTGTAACCACCAGAGGATTGTGTCTGTACTCAAGCGGGGATTATATTTAGCCTTTTATCAAGCACCCTTGACATTCAAAGTCCAAGGAATACAAAACACTTTAGCCGAGTTGAAGAGAATCTCCTTCTTAACTGATGAATGAGTAAAAACAGAATTTACAGGACACATTAATGGCGACTGAAGCTTCTAGAGCTTAACTTGAGAGGGGTCACAGTAACTAATTGTCTTTGTTATCTCAATCCTAAATATTTCCAAGGAAAACTGCGCAGCACAATATCAGCGGGGTAGGAAAAATATCTGGGTCAACGTCTGTAAGGATTCTAAGCTTTACTAGCTTGGCAGAAAAATTAGTGTGGGTTAACATTCGTGAGGATTCAAACCTCATTAATCGGTTTTGCTGCTGAATGCTGTTATGGCAGAGCAGAGAGAGGTATTTTGTGTAAACGTACATGAGGATTCAAACTTCAGACTTTCCAAAATCGGTATCTAATGCTCTATTAGTTGAGCTGAGAAAAAAATATTGGTCGACCTTTGCAAGAAATTATATGTCTGAAACGTGTGAAATGAAAGTTTCTAGTGGACTTTCATGAGGATTCAAACCTCAGATCCACCGATTTTGCTGTCAAATACTCTACCTGCTGACGTATACAAAGCTCGTGCAGTTATTTTTCTTATCTCACAATAAGTTATTGTCTTCTGTTTGCTTCTTGAGTGTGTGATCAACAGGTTATACCGATGCAGCTATTCTTTGGCTGGAATCAAACGACTGCGGTAATTCAGCGATTTAGAGTACCAATCATTATGAGCTGCTTTGCTGTTCAGGTAAGGATTGAATCAGAAATATCAAAAGGTCCTGAAGTATGACTGAGCTGTTCAAGTCAGGAAATACATTATTTTTAAGTAAAGATATCAAATGCAACTGAAATTTTGAATTTAATTGGTGGAACACTGTAAGTATATTTTATTGACAATCATGAAATGTGTATATTTCTGGAAAAGATCAAGAGCAAAGATTAAAGTCAGAACCATTTTAACCCGAACATTTAACGCGAAATTAAAACATTAAAATAGAAAACTCACAACAAAACAAACGAATGAAAACAAAGCAATGAAACACTTGAATGGAATTTATACATTAGAGTCAATTACAGCCTGATCAAATGCAACTGAAATGCAACTGATGGAGAACTGTAAGAATATTTCAGCGACAATCATGAAATATATATATTTTTGGAAAACAGCAAGACAAAAGACTAGAGTCAGAACCATTTTGATCCGATCTTTTAAACGAATAAAATTAATTCTAAGAATTATCTTTTGTTTGCTTGTCGATTGTGTGATCAACAGGTTATACAGATCCAGTCATTGTTTTGCTGGAATAAAACGCCTGATATATTCAAGTCAGTGATTTAGTGGACCTACTGTTCAGGTCAGTTTTGAATTATAGATATCCATATTTCATTAAGGATGATTAAGCTATCTATGTGATTGTAAAAGTTTGAATGAAATGAAGAAGAAATGTTGGAGTCAGAACCAACTGGGTGGAGAGCTGTAAAAAAGTTTACAATCAGAACTGTAATAACTGGATGGAGAGCTTAGCGCGCTCCACTCATGCATTGCTTGTAGTGATGATGGCCCATGCTTCAATGTCCCCCTCTGGTACCTCGGTGTAAGCTCGTATCATTTACGTTTTTCTGTTTTTGATGTTTGCTTTCTTTTTTGGGTTCGAGCAGTGAGCCGTTAAACAGGTCTTACACGCGGAGGTCCAGATTCATTTTGGTTTTTGTTTGTAACCACCAAAGGACAGTGTCTGCATTTCAGTGGGGGTTGTACTTGCTCGGGTTTTTTCCGAGACATTTGACATTTGAAGGCAAAAGAATCTAAAACAAAAAATAGCTGGGTTAGAAAGTTTCTCCCTTTAAATCACAGAGTAAGGATACCTGGCATTCACAGAAGACGCAATGACGGAGAGTGAAGCTTATAGAGCTCAATCAGGGGCTATAAGGACTAATTGTCTACGTCACAGTCTCATTGTAAGAAATGTATTAAGAAAGGTGCCCCTACCTTTAAGCTACGTGAGGATTCAAACTTCGCTTTAATCACAAGAAGGATATCAAGCTAGATCCCTT